AAATACTTTATAATTTTCCGTATATTCTGATCATAGAATGTGAAAATTCAAACATTATAGATTAATAATTGATTAATAATTGATTAATTTTGTATTGTTGATCGCCATCAATGATTTACCTCTACCAATAGTTAAAGTGAGGTTATTATGATAGTACATAATTTTATGTTTTTTGTTAAATTAGCATTAGTTGGTGTAAAAAGTGAGCTGGAAAATTACTCTTAAAAATCAGAGGCCAAATGAATTTGGTAGATTATCACGCTTTTTCAGAAAGAAAATGTATCTTGATAAAGGCTGCAAAACTTGACTTGAATAATCATGCATTTCATTTGACATAACATAAACTCATTAGCTTTGCTTTGGCGATCAATCTACCTGATGTGAAATATTCAATTATTAACAGTAGATGCAGGTTATATATTGCTATGGTTACATAGAGCGTATACAATAGCTTTTTGAACAATACTGAACATCGTGAAATCCAGTTAAATATATGACAGATGCCTTCCTATATCAAATAATCATTCATCATCATTCCGTCCTTCAAATTAAAATAAAATCACGAAATGATGAAACATATTTTCCAATTTTGTAGTCTTACATTTTTTTTTAAATAATTGAAATCATTATAGAAATCATGTGAGCCGATAAGCAAATTAAACAACAAGCTCGGCACATCCGCCAAGTGTATGATCCAAAGTAAATATTCAAATTTGACGTTATTATCCCATTCTGAGTAATATTATCGCTCTTGCTTCCTAACGAGCCAAGTGAAATAAGTTATCTTATTGTGTATTAATCAAGTTGAACAAAATAGTGGGCAAGCTGGTGGTCAAGTTCCTCACTTAGTCTAACTTTGATAATAATGTACACCGTTTTTGCTTCACGAATTGCAAAACGTATTCCCCGAACGGCAGAAACTAGATTAGGGTGTGATGCCTGGATCACATTTGCTCCGATCCATCGGCCGGAGCCCGGACGATTGAGTGTTTTGTTCAATATTGTATTCGATTTTGAACAAAATACTCAATCGGCCGGGCGCCGTAGTGAAAATCGGAGCAAATGTGACCAAGGCATAAGTGAACATCTTTCAAAGAACCAAAATTAACACTTGAAAGTACTACTACATGTGTAAGGTTTTCATACCGTAATGCCCTTGAATATGTCAATTGGATATTTCTGTCATGTGATACTTCAATCACTTTATCCCGACTCAGGTGTTTCTGAATGGAAACGCATCTAATTCAGCTATATATTTCGCCACCTCTTTTGTCTGCGTAATTGAACAAGAATACAAGAATTGGTTAGTTCATATTTTAAGGTGAAATATTGTGGAAAAAGATTCGAAACATCATATTTCATTGATTTTTGAATTGTTATATTCATCAGAGACGTTTCGTATGCGTTTTACATCATTGTTGTATATGCATTATAACACTAATTTCAGTGACTGTATTTGGGTAGTCTTTCATCTTTGAAACTTTAATAAAAAATCCTATCGACTTTGTGGATCACTATAGACATTAACATTAAAACTAAACTAAAAGTAAGGTATAGACCTAAATCCCAAATTAACACTAATTAACATCTTAGACCATCATATATTAGTCTCAGTTAAGGTAACGCTAAAGTTAATCAAAAGTACAAAAACATGGCAGCCATATTTTTTTGATAAAGTCACAAGATCTGTTTTCCTTATATGTGAATGCACTGACTGACTAAAGAGACATGTCAATGAAAACTTCACATTGAACGTAATTTTTATAACTGTGAATTGGAGGTGCATGGGTCCCTAAAGCTAGCATGGAAACAGTGAAGTGAGGATAACTTTTTAAAATTTCAAGGAGTAGGAGACACATTTGTAAGACTCCAAAATTTCCACAAATCATCTTACCTTACCAAGGAACATCGAAGGAGCATGAAAATGTGTGCTTCTTGCATTGTTAGAGTATAATAAAGCTCACACTATTGTGAATTCTAAATATTTCATGTCCACCATTTTGTTTGCTGGGACAATTTTCTAGTCCAAAGTAATCCTCACTTATGTATCCATTGTTTATCATTTATAAAGCCTCAATCATGTATCTATCGTGATAATTATACTGTTATAGATAAAATATACTTGTGATTATCCATGCCATTTGGTGAAGTCACAAAACTTGTATGAGGATTAATCAGGAAGTCTAGAAGTAGTTCCAGCTAACAAAATGGTAGCCTAATGAAATGTTTATAAGAAACTATGGTTTGAGCTTTAGCATACTCTAACAAAGCAAGAAGTACACATTTTCATGCTCCTTCGATGTTCCTTGGTAAGGTAAGATGATTTGTGGAAATTTTGGATTCTTGCAAATGTGTGACTGTTGTAAGGCTACTCCTTGAAACTTTCAAAAATTAGCCTCACTTCACACTCTTCATGCTAGCTTTGGGGATCCATGCACCTCCAATTCATAGTTTTGAAAAATGCGATTTAATGTGATGTTTTCTTTGACGTGTCTGTTTAGTCAGGAAATGAATGCACATACAAGGAAAACATTATACAAAATCTACTGACTTTATCAAAAAAATATGGGTGCCATCTTTTTGTACTTCGGATTAACTTTAATTTCACTTTAACATGTATATAGTTTTTAAACAACTATAAATTAAAATCCTACACATTATACAAATGTGACCCTCGGCATAAGTGTCACTTATGCTGAGGTCACATTAGCTCCGATTCATCGGCAGCCGCCCGGCCGATTGAGTCGTCTAAATTGAAGGTCAAATCTCAAATTTGAGGTCAGGATGTGTGTACGCCTGAGAACTTGTACACGATTTAGAAAAAGGTTTGGTCAATTTGAAGGAAGATGAAACCAGTTTTTAACAAAATACTGCAATCGTCCGGGCGCTGGCCGATGAATCGGAGCAAATGTGACCTAGGCATTAGGAGACTTTCAGTTGAAAGTCATTTTGATCAAGGGGACGGAAACTAAAACCAGGAAAGGAGCCTAAGAAGCCTGATAATCATATAATGTAAGGTATTATGATGTAATAGTGTGAGATGTTAGGACAAACGTTCATAATTAGTTTGCTTTCATAGTGAGTGAGTGAATGGATTATTCAGTAGTGCATAAGTAGTTTGACTGAATTGAGTTTCATCTTCACACGCTCGGTCTTCACTGCTGTGGTATTGTGTGCCTTGACATAAAAATCTTAGCGGTAGTAGCAGCAGTATTGTCAGTAGTTGCATAACAGGTTGGATATTTGCTGAAATGGTCAATGAATGTTATTACATATTTTTCATTCCATCCTCTGAGATCAGGAAAGGGACCCAAATAATCAGTTACTACATACTCGTTGATGTAACTACTTTTGATTGGTTTAATAGAGAACATTTTATCAACAGAGTTTTAGACTTTAGAGATGGGAAGTGATTATCAATTAGTGCAATAGAGATGAGTGCAATAATTACGACAACTACTATTTATTTTATTATTACTTCACACATAGAATTATTCAAATATGTTTCATCGAAATCAATTAATGGCAATTTGACCTTTCTGATACATATTGTTATTGTTCTTTAATAATTCTAGATCTACTCATTGATCAAAGGCAGTCTTTCATCTTTGCAAGTAAAATACTAATCGGTAGTTTTTTCATATCATAAACACTTTGCAGTATTGGTTATGTTAATTTTTTTGTTCGTTGGATGTTGTAATTTTTCATTGTTTTCCTGATGTTATTTTCTGGTAGAGTTCACATGTAAATTAGCTCTCTCCAGTTCCGAATGTAAAAAACAAAAGGTTTGCATGTAAATCTATCGAGTTGAATACTCATCAATCATCTTCACATTTAATAGGAATATTGATCAAGTTGATGAATGCGTTAATGCACTTTTAATCAAGATTAAAATAATCGTGCGACAACGTCATCAAAGCGAACACGTGAAACTCGTGGTAAACGGAGATTTTAATATTTTTATAAATGTCAATTCGGCTATATAGATTATAACGGCCGCACACAAAGAAGATGCTAATTTGAAGTATCGGTAACATATTCATTGAATTAATATGAATGTAAATACATGATGTAAAGATGAAGTATAGTGAGACTGTATAAGACTGTTGTGCCAGTATAATAAATAGATAAACAAATAAATGAATAAATTGGTTTAAGAGTACCTTATTAAATTAATTGCTTTTCACAATACGTACTCGCACCATGAGAGACAACTCCATGTATATTATGAGTTAGGGCGGTGCGATTATGGCATAAACAAGCCAAAAAATCAGATTCATTTTGAATTTTACAAATATTGATGCAACTTCCTTCAAAATTGAGCTAGAAGCTTCAAATAAAAAGCACTCTTATCTTCCTCTTTCTCGTGGTTTTATTTCCATTGGTTATCGCACCCATCGCACCCCCCCTCCCCCACTGGCTACGCCTATGTGATTTCTCATAATACTGCACTGATGTGAGTGTAGTAGTGAGATATGTGTATGATACTGTAGTATGGACATCTTTATTGATCACTTCAGTTTCATCATTTCCACCATCTACAATGGACGTACGTTTTGTGTGCATTACGAGACATCTTTATGTAGATTACGAGTTCATCCTTCACGTTTAATTAATTTCTCAACTCTACTATTCTTATTGAGGTTACTTATAAACATGTGATGTTTAACTACAAATAAAACATGATAACGATATCTATGTATAACAGTATTTATTTTACTAAGTCAGAATACAAAATACTAAATATACAAAAACTGATTTATAATCACGGTCTCTCAGACTAGAACTGGATGGAATGTGTATATCTATTCAATGATGGATTATTTGATTTCATATTGGTAAACATATATTTACATTATTGGAACATGATATATTATGATACACTGGCGGATCCAAATTTTGGACCCCAAAATTTTACAGGGCCTCATTTTGTGGGCCTTTTTGGGCATTGCTGGGGCTTTTTGGGCATTGCTGGGCCTTTTTAGGACAAATTATCAAAAATAGGCCTTGAATTTTCAAAATTGGGCTCACTTTTTGGATTTAGGGATCCGAAATTATTTTCCTTGTCCCCCTGTTAGCTTCTGGATCCGCCGGTGTGAATTCATCCCATCTAACTTTTAATTTCCACTACAGGTCGAGTGAAGAAATTGACAATGAATGCAAGACCCTCTGATATGGCACCAGTTATAGCATCATCACCCGAATTGTCATCACTTGACAGATTTACATTACAACTTATACATTCTATTGACTTGAGGTTTAATACGGGTGTCGCTCCACCTAATCCACTTTTCAATTTACCAACAAAACTGACCTCGTCACCTGGGTTTAGTTTGAACATGACATCCCTGAAATCATCTAGAGCAAACAGAACTACATCTTGTAATGTGTCATGTGGGTTACTGTCATCCTTAGACATTGATATTACTAACTTAAAGACATATTCGTCGTGTGATCTCACATGACATGGGCCGTTTTGGCCTATCCAAAACCCCTTTGTCTCCCCAAACTGAGGATGATTTGCTGTGAGGTCAAATTCTGGTTGCTGTGCTGGGATTTCAGATTCTGTTTCACCCTCTTCTTCTTCGGGTGCATCTTTATCATTACTTTGTGCATTGTTAGAGCCTTCATCATCTGACTGCGCCTTTACTTCAGGGTCTTCCTCGTGTGTTTGATCTTGCTCAAACTTATCAAACTTTTCGCCATACATACACGACACCCATTCACCAACTCCCGATGGTAATATGTCCACAAACCGTTGAACATAATTGTTTGTACTATTTACAGAAACACTCTTGATTGTACCTGTCCACCTGACTCTAAGGTTCCTGAAATGACCACATTGAACCTGGGTCTGAACCATATTGGTGCTCTCCCATGCTCTAGGCCCACAGAAATGTTCATACTGATTCCAACTAAGAGGCTGAATGTCTTCCTTCTCGACAGATGGCGTGGTGGCAAGTAGCAATAACAATGTAAAAACACAACCGCTTACAAGTCTGAGACCAATCCGGGCTCTTTTGGACATATTTTTGAGATTGATGAAATCTGTTGTGAAACCCATTTCTGACCACAGAGTGAAAACAACTGGGAGAGACATGAATATGACTGTACATACGAGCTGCAAAAATGATGCAGAGATCAAGAGTTTCAACACAAAGAATACGAGACCAATGAGACTGACAACGACAAACACTGGCAAAAACAACAAAAACACAGGCCAACCAAAAGCACCTCTGAACATTCCATTCCAACTGGAACTGGCGTAGAATGTGATACCAATCTGCAGCCATAGAAACCCAACCAGTTGAGGTAACATTACATTATAAAAACCACGACCTGAATCCGAAACAGCCATCCTGTACAATAAAATTGGGACGAACAAATACAACAATGAAGGTATACCCATGTTAAATGTCACCGCCTCGCCCAGTTGTATACTAATGAGATCCCCTGTAAGGAACCAGACTATGGAATCGAGTACTGGAATGTCTGGGAAGTTCCTAAAAGCGGGAGACAACGCAGACACAAGATTACACAACATGAACATATGTACATTTGTGTCATGGGGAGCCAGAAATGCGAATGCTGCAATTGAAAGCACAAGTCCAACAACTGAGAACTCTGAGCATGGTATCCAGGCTCTATCACAAAATCCCAATGATACTATAGTTATGAGGCATGCATATAAAAACGTCCAGTATGGTTTAGTTGTATATACAGCATATGCGTTTGTGGCTTTCTGTAGATCAATATCCCTGTTTTGTCTCTTCAAAATGTTCAACCACACTTCGACGTCGTGGATTTTGCGTTTATTGATGAACATCTGTAGTGACACAATCACCATGACAATGAACGAGATGAAGAAAACAAACAATGGTAGCACCATCATGAATGAACCCATTGTCTGTAGGGCTAATGTCACGAGGAATAGCAGGAATATTAGATACATCTGTTGTATAGGGAAGATTATCATCAACCATTCGATACCTTCCGAGGCCACTATCTCTGTGATGGTACTCCACGTATATCCACATGTCTTCATAGGATGCTTGTACAACTGAAATATCAGATATTTTAATGATATTGTTTATTTTCAGATAGTTGGTATATCAACATGCATCAATTTAAATATACTCATTTAATTGTGAAGGTAACGGAATTATAATTTATAGTACTCGCCATTTTTTAAATTATTGAAAGAAAGTTTCTCGTTCAAGTAGAAATAATCTGGAATTGAACTGAAAATGACATCAACATTGTTGAAACGATTGAAATACTAAAAACAGACCTAAAGCATGCATTTTTAACTGTGATAAGTAAAATGATATATTATATATTTAGTAGTTTCAATTTTTAGTAACTTTTTCAAGTTACATAATTATGATTTAGACAACCCAATTGACCATCACCTTCAGAGTTGTATTTCATAAATGAAACAATTTATTTCATTCACCCATGTAATAGTTTATAGATTTTGTATGGCACAAGCACACTTTAATTTTCAATGCGGGACTATTGCACACCAATGAAGTCTGCACACCAATGAAGTCTACATGTGTCGCCTAACTATTCTAGGGGTTGGCAACTCAATAAATAAACAATAAATGATACAATTTAAAGCTTGACTCTATTCTCCGTCTTCTTTCTCTTTCTCTTTCTAGCTATTCTCTACATTATCTATTCACACTTTGACCCCATGATGTAAGCATCTGGTTTAAAATTTAAAAGCTCGCAGTCGGACATAACCATATATGATATAGGTGATGGGCCCGGTGATGGGTTACCATATACGGATTATACCTGAATCGGTAATTATTCCAACGCCATCTATTGATCGAAATGAACAATTATAAAATAGTTGTACCTGATAGAAGGTTGCATAGATTATAATGATAAACAATATCAATCATTTTAATAACCGATGAGACAATATACGTCAACCTGGATGCTATTCAGGTAACACGGACAATTTGCCATGCATGTATTATTAGATTGAATCTCAATAAAAATTCATTGCCCTCTCTCAGTTTATAGAATATTCAAATGTGTCATCAGAAGATGTAATGTTTGTGATTAATTAAAAGATGATGAATAATTGTTACCTTTTCCCATAAACTTGATCTACTGTAGGAGTCATCCTCTACATCTGATGCTAAACGTTTTCCACTAACACCTCTTAGTCTTCTTGACACAAGCTCCACGAACTCCCCCTCACTTAACTCAGGTTTGTCCTTCAGGTGATCTGTAATACAATTTACGATAGGAGATTATTCCTACATTCCAGTAAAACATGGAAGATGTTATATATGATTACCAGAGCTTAAGAAATGAAGTATATAGACAACTTAAATACAAATTCCTTGAACATGTCAAAATATCACCACTTGGTAAATGCGGAATGGAAATTGTTACTTTAAAAAATTGTGTTTCAGACGTCAAAAGCCATACGCTACTGACGGTCACCAAAACAGAAGTTGTTATGAATGATAGAACCTCAACTTGAAATTGATCAACCTTGATTGGAATAAATTAATTAATCAAGATATCTTACTCTTCATCAATGTTTGTTCTTCCTCGTTATCAGTAATTTTAGCAACAAGTTCTTCCGTTGACAATTTCTCTTCGCCCTCTCTTGCTGTTCGTTTAAATAAGTCACCAGCCGTTCTTCTTATAAGTTTATCCATCTCTGGGGTCTCCACGCAGAATTTAACATCAGCCATATTATCCTGGGTTATCCCTACAAATGCATATGTTTTGACACCCATTTTATTTTACATATGAGGTGTTCTAGAATGTTTTGAGAATACAGGTCTAACTAACTCAGATTCGTGCTCGTGGGCTTATTTATGACATACTGTGTTTACTTTTTGTACATAAATGTTAACTTTTAGAAAGACCGAGTGTAGCGTTCACTGTTTTGTATGAATATGTTGTCTCGTGAATTCATAAATCAAAAAATACAGACATAATGTCATGACTCGTTGTTCACTTTGAATTAAACAAGTAAAAATATTTATCGTGAGAAAATCCCCAGGTGTAACCTACTAAGGGCAATTAATTGATGAAAAAACTCTCGTTAAAATGGATTCATACATATAAATGTATATTCCCATTTAATGCAAATATTTTCAAACTCTAGTTTCTATATATCAATCCACCATGAATGTTTGTGTGACAAACTTTACCACACACTTACTTTACCCTACAATTATGAAAACAAATACGAACAAATTATATACATCATCATCTTACCTATGTTATTCTGAAGACACTGTTGTAATGCTTTCGTAGCCTCGCTGTGACCATGCATTGATGCGAGGATCAACCAATGCACAGCAATTGCTCCATCCTGTTGTGGAGATGCGCCTGATCGAGCCTTATTCAGGTAGTACTCCCCAACTATGTTCTGATGCTGGACAGATCCTTTTTGAGCCTTGGCAAAGTTCTGTATCAGTTCAGGATCATCTGTGAATGAAAAAAATATAATTACAATCGTGTCATACCCTAAATTACTATCATTGTTTTTGTATCATTCTCTGTACTAAAACTCTGAATTGCTATCATTGTTTTTGTATCATTCTCTGTACTAAAATACTGACCGGTTGAATGTTCCATATTTGGAGCACTAGTGTTGGGATATTTTTCAATTTATCGTGTACAGAGAATAGCTGTGTGATGTACAAATACTACTTTATTGCAGATCAAAGTTTAATTGATAAAACTTATGAATATGTGTACACAAGATAAGTTTAAATTAAAAATTACTCATCAAATATCAAATATAACTATACTTCAATGTGCTTGAATTTTATCAGGATATTTAAATTTATGATATTTAGTAACTTACCACAAGGCGGTGATATAGTGAGCTGTTTGTCTGAAGAGCTCAATTCAGCTTGAAGTGGATTGTCCTTTCTAGCTTCAAACGTTTCGTGCATTACATCATCGGTCATTGTTCTTTGCTCGACTAGAATTTCGTTTTTGTCTTCCATCGGTAACTGTTGTTGCACATCGACTGTAATGTCGGGAATGTGTACAAGTGACTCAGTGCATATGTCACTTAGTGATCTCACGCTTGGCTCCACTGGTGAAGAAGGCACGCTGTCAACAACAGCGAAGAATATATCCGATTCTGTTGAATTAGACTCTAAATCTTTTGGAGATGAATGATCATTAGTAGATGAGAAACATATGTTTACTTCAGGGCTAGATGTACGTTGGATATTGTCCGTGTTGTTAAATGGATCATCTGTATGGTCTTCGTCTTCAATATCCTTTGTACCATAATTAACAATATGTGTCACTATATCATCCTCATCTGATGAAACAATTTCCCACTGATCCTCAATAGATTTTTTATCATTTCCATTTTTATCTCCATCATTGGTACCGGAGTATGGTATTACATCTTGTAAGTTGGATAGAATTTGAGCAACAGTGTCTTCTCGGCTTGTTGACGATCCTCTACTTAGAGATGGCTTCGTTTGTGGTTCATCATCCAACGAATATTGTGCACCAGTCTTATCATTCGGTGATTTTTCGTTTGGTGCAACGTTATCATATACAAGTACAATATCATTACTGCTCTCATCAAGGCTTTCTTTCTGCTCTTCTATCTCTCCTGTTTCATTGGCTTGATCTGGCATTACAGTCCCACTGAGAACATCATAAATTAAATGCTCTCTTTGTTCGGATATTGGGTTCATTTTTGCCTGGTCAATGTCATTAACATCTATTCCGTCAGATTCATGAAGAATATCAACTGATGTCGATGAGGTTTTTCTGTTGTCTGCTTTTGTGACATCTGGCTGTTGTTTTATTCCATCAGGATCTCTCTTTCCTGTTTCATCCCTAGCTTCACCTACATCGAACTGGTCTCTGAACTGACCTAAAATGTGTCTTACTTCATCATCTGTAGCATGAAGCTGCTCTTTGATTGTATATTCACTTATTTCATTGTTCACATTTATAGGTTTCATCGGAGAAATGGATTTGTCTTTACCCGCTGGGAAAAATGGTTTGATTGGTAAATCATGTGGAGTAGACGTTGATATTGGTTTGTCGTTATTTACATCAGCGTTAGGAGAGGATTGTTTAGGTTCGATAGCGTGCGTCTGGGATACAGATGAACTAGGCAGCGTAGTTTTTCTGTCCAACGGTGATGAAGGTTGAGTTGTTGAAATTGTTTCAGATGATCTCTCTGTGAATCTATACCTAGATGGGACATCCTGCTGAAGAGAAGTGTCTACATTACGGGAAAGAGGGTCATCGCTTGTTGGAAATAACGGTGGAGCTTTGTCGTAAAATCTCGAAGACTGGTCAGAATGAACAGAACTAGGAGGCGATAGTGACGCTGGAGTCAAACCACTTCTGTTTTCGAGTTTTATGTCCGGAGTGATAACTTTCTCCAAATTCGCTTCAAAATTTTCCAAAAGTTGTTCTTGGGATTTTCGTCGTTGTTTTAACATCTCACGCATCTTGGAGAAATAATCCGCATTCTTTTCAACTGCAGGCTCAGCTGTTTCGTCCCCTCTGGTGAAAGGTGATTTGTAAATATACGCATCCGTTGGTTTTTCTGTATGGGACAGGGCAACTACTGACTGAGTAGGAATTCGAACTGTCTTGTCAACCGGAATGTCTTCAGGTTCTTGAAAATCTCGAGGGCTGATTTGAAGCTCATTTTTAGTATCAGTAAGACTCTCCTCAGTTGCATGATCTTGTTGTTGTGTGAGGACCGGAATTGTGTCAGGTTCCTTTAAAGTCGAGTCCTCTTGTGCATTCACTCTGTCAGATGCCTTGCTGGTTTTTCTTTTAATTTCACGTATTTTATCAGACTTAGAATAGTAATTCGATATTCTCTCAGTTGGATCAACGTTTAGTGCCTCGATTGTTTTATCATCCGGTTCCTGTTTGATGCTTCGAGCAACGTCAGGCTCTTGTAAGGCTTTGTTATCTTCTATATTATTGGCAATATATGTAGCTGCTTCGTTAACCTTCGCCATTACTTCTGATTCAATCCTATCTGTGAATGTTTCTACCTCTGTCTTATCTCCTGCAGTGGCATCACCTTCAATTCTCTGTTGGGATTCAAAGGACATTTCTTCATAAATGTGCGTGTCTTCATCGATGTCCTTGCCAGGAACCCCCATGGGTATGTACAAGTCCTCTTCATCGACCTGGATTATGTCCCTTTCACCATTCTCAATAATATCTCCGATTACTTGCAGCATATCCATTGTATCAGGTACATTATGATTCAACTCAAGTCCACTGTTAAAAGGCTCATGATTTTCATATATTGGCGTTTTGTTATCATCTGTGGTGGCCGGAAATGTTTGTTCTTCAGTCGATTGTTTAGTTTTCTTTTCTTTTTCTTCGTGATTTTCATGAAGGGGACTTTCCGGAGACTTGGCTTCCTTGTTATGCATTAAAACACAAGCATCTGACTCAGTCTCATCTTTATCTATTTTTATTTCATCCTGATTTTGGTCTTTGCTACTCTGTTCTTCATTTTCTTTTAGTTTATTCCCAGTCAACGGATGCACTTCCCGTGTTGTTGTTTTAGTTTCTATGACATGTTTTATGTGTGTTTTGGTGGGGGAACTTTGATCTTTAACTGCATCGGGTTTCTCTACAATCATAACGTGTGGTGATTGCCCATCCTTTACTTCAGGCTTTGATTGATTTGTATCGTCAGGGATAACATTACTTGGTGAAGTTGGGACTGACGACTTCGTGGTTACTTCTTTCTTGAGGTCCTCCTTTGGCTGCATGGCGATGATTGCATCAAGGTCAGTTTCCATCATAACGGGGACTGGAGGAGCAGGAAACGCCACACTCTGCTCTGTGATTTTTCGTATTTCTTTCTTAAAAACACGTTTCTTTTCAGTCTTTGAATGATAATTTGACATTCTTTCTGTTGGATCTAGACTTTCCTCTATTGGTGGGATGTCGACTGTGATCTGGTGATTTTCGTTTTCATCAACCATATCGACATGTGCTTCTTTTGTTGGAGCTTGTTCTTTCTGAATAGTTTGGTCCTCTATTTTCACACTTGTTTCATTGATGTATTCAGTTGGTTGAGCAACTACATTAATATTCTCTTGAGTAACTGCAGTTTCAATTTGTTTTACAATTGTTTCCTGCAGCGTCAGTCCAGGCTCATGTTGTTGCAGAGCGACTGCTTCTTCTATGTTACTTATTGGTCGTTCCTCCATCGCTTCTTCATAGTTCCCAGAATACCTAGGCCTATATGTAATAAACCCTTCAGATGGCAGGGAATCTTCTTCATTCCAATCCCGTCTAGGTGGCATATCTTCTTGTTTCACAGCTGGCTGTATTACTTCACCATCGGCATTCAAATTAGGTGTTTCTTGTTGACTTATTGCTCCTTCTTTTTCGGTAAATACGCCATCGGATTCGTCTTGCTTTTTGATAGAGCTAGTTCTTTTCGGTGGAGGTGGGGGACCAGCTGATTGATGAACCTTGGCGACATGTACTATTCTTGCAGGAGTGTCAGCTGGAGTGTCACCTTCCAAAGTAAGAACGGGTGAAGTAGGGGGATCGGGAGGTTTGTTTGCGGGTTTTGATATCTTGTTGGGAGTGACTTTAACTGGAGATGGAGGAGTCTCTTTCTGTATGTCATCTGGCTTAACCTCAATACTCGACTTTCTGTCTATATCTGTATCACTCTGCCTGTTCCTCATGGCTTTCCTTTTGGCTCTCGGCGACAGTCCTCGTTTAATGCCCTTCACGATTGTATTCAGGCCTTCTTTCAAGCTGTTGCTTCTAGATAGTCGTTCTCTACCTCGAGGGAGTTGAGGCATAGATTGAGCGGGACTCATGCCTTCAGAGGCAGAGTCTGATTGAATATTAGGAGTAGATTTATACAGGGCTGAATCACGTTTACCTAACTTGCTTACATCCGGTTGCGACTCGTAGAATACTTTAGGGTGCGGGGATGTTTTGGTCTCAAATGTTCTATACAAACCACCGGGCAATTCATTATTTTCATCTTCGTGAGAAAAACTGTCAAAGTCTCTATCGATTACTTCGACTGGAGCCGACCTTCTCTTGGGTTTCGGAGACATTCCTCTTTTGATATCTTTCCATGTTTTAGATATCGTTTTGCTGAAGCTGTTCTTGCGTTCACGCTTAGATTTCTTATCTAAATATTGGGGCTCTGATGAACCAGACTTCAAACCAGGAGATCCTGTTTGAACAGCAGTGTCGTCAAGTGCTCTTGGTTTGGGGATGGTTTCACTACTGGTAGATGCCTGGATGTTAGGGGTTGATTTGTAATGTTCTTTAGCTGGCATACTGATTGTTTCAGTCATGCCATATTCAAAGCTTGAATCAGGATCTATTGATGATTTTGAGCTTATGGAATCATCGTCTCGCAGATTGCGTTTTCTTCGAGGTTTTGGAGACATTCCCCTCTTTAAATCTTTCCAAGCAGCGGACAGACGTTGACCAAAACTTCCACTTCTTGCCCTACCGTTTCTATCAAGCTCTGGTTCGGAGGTGCTTGGTGTAAGCTTATTTTTGCTTCTGAACTTCGACGAGGATTCTCTTCTCATTTGAGGCGTATCGGAAGCTGCTAAACTAGGGGTAGATTGTAAGCTATCTGACGATATAGAGGAATCAGGATTATCTTGGGTTTCAAGTTCGGATAAAGGGGCCCTCCCTTGTTTTTTACGTTTCTTGCTTCCGGGTGAAACACTTCTCTTAACCTGACTCCAGGCATTGGACACACCCTCTCGCATACTTCTCCTCCCACGTTGCCTCTCGGGTGCTTTTGGAACTTCATCCTTGGACGCTTTTCCTTTCCCTTTAACGTTATCCATGGTTTCAAGTGCTACTTATCCATTCCTGTGTTAATGTTTGCCTGCACATTGAGGAGTCTATCAAGTTAAAGTGCCCTGTGTGTTTATATACAGATTCAACACTCCTCAAACACTTTATTTCAGACACACATAAATGCAAACTTACATTTTTTATTTCACTATGATGTTTTGAACGCCTTTGACCCAGTTATAAAGCGGCAAACCCGTTGTTTACTAATTTACCGTGCCAATAAATATTTCGTCCTTGTGAATGTCAACTCAGTATCATCGTATATTTATCGCAGTAGTATTCCCATGAAAAGATTTTCGAGATGCAGATTCACGAACGCGGTGTATTTACAATTTAGTGGTTATTTTCCTGCAGGCACTTATATTCTGTCAATGCATATCATTTCATGTACTTTTGATTTGTCTTTTTAAGCTAAAACTCGGTATTTTCGATATTCACATAGGTTTTATGATAAATAGGTTTATCCGTAGTTAAATAGATGTTTGCCAGTGTTTACATTGGTATGCGTTCACTAAATAGGCTACGGGCCCGTTGACACCTGTGTCCGCCTCCCTACAGGTACTTGATTAAGTTAATCCAAATTCCAAAGCCTACCTACGCTATTGTCAATTCTATCTGGACGCTTCTTTATTAGGTAAAACCCTTTTTATTAGTTAAACTGAATTGGTTAATGAAATAAGTCATAGATCCGTGGTGTATGTGGGTTTGCATCTACTATTGACTCTCTTTAGATAACATTGGTTTGTTCAATATTTCTTTATCAGTGTTCATACTTGAGACGAGTATCCGACGCTTAGCACTGCAAGATGTCAAGTTAATATTTGACAACATGGATCGTCACCGAATTAAAATTTTACAAATCACTTCCATGTACGTACATGTGTAGAGTATAATATGTACATGTACCTTCTCATGTTACACTAGTATATTGTGATTGTATAGAATGACTAATAGAATAAACCATGCTGCATATTAAATTTGATTATTAAATATTGTAATGAAAACATTCATTTGTGTATTTGTTTGTAATGCATGTATGTTAACAGCTGTTGTGTCTATAGTTGGCAGGGTACTATATAAGCAGCCACTAAATTACCACCATACCATACAATGCATATTATACGATATCGGAGTTATTGCAACTCGTTCAAGCTGACCCCATAATACAAATGAGACGAACATTATTCCAATAGATTTCACTCATTTATTTATATTTTCTTTTAAAATAGAATGTATTCACAATTCAATGGCAGTTTACCACTTTATCAGTGCATTCTATTTCTGAACAAAGTCAGTATTCACAAACTGTAGAGATCCTTTTGAAAATACATTAAAAGCATACAAAAAATACATTATGCTTTGGGCCCTCTGCACGTTATATACCACGATGTACTCAAAAGCAGTATAGAAATGGAGTGATTTTATCTAATTGAAATGACTGAAGACCATGATGATTGTGGCCAGGAAATTAGAGATATGCATTTCAATAGCACTTAAATAACTTCATTTCCAACCTTGAAAATACATTCAGATTTTGGAATATGTTTTGAAAGCAGGGTGTGAATAAATAATACATATGTTCATCATAAAGGTATTACTTTTAAATCAAAAAGGAAATTACTCAAAGTACTGTAATTTCAAGGTAATTCATATAAATCTCACTAAAACGATATGACACATTCATTCCGATATTTTATAGCCAACCCATTTATGCATCTATAAAAATGTATTAATTTTATTTACATTGGAGAATGTTGCATTTGTATTGTATACCGTGTACATCCTTGATTTGGGTTAACATATGTTAGCTTTGATCACTCATTACTATCATTAGCCAAAATGTATATCAACATATTTTACTATATACAAATGATGTGATTTTGTAACATGTGATTTTGTAATCAGCCCTTAAAGCTGTTTCCCAAATTTGTTGATATCAAAGAGCTGAAGAAATGAACAATAAAACATAGAGGATTTTTAAAATGAATTTGAAATGAGTGTATGTTATAAATGTCTTCTATGTACACTACATGTTACAAATATACAATTCTTCTCCTACATATGTACTTTACATATGCACTGTACTTAACATATTACATATGTACAGTTCTTTTAAGTGTCCTTGACCTTATTCTTGAAGGTTATGTTACTTAGCAGCCTACATCTTTTAGAAACATGTTTACATTCAAAGTTTGTATCTTAGCTACATGGTCGCCATTTCCACAAATTTTGACACACAGGGTGAGCCAAAAATGTCACTTTCTATCAAAAAACATTAACTTTCTAATTTTTTTATTGGAAATTTTTTTTTTTTAATAAAAGTAGAAGCAAAAATAAATAAAATGTAGCGTTAATGGGTCATGTCATATTCTTTAATATTGCTCTTCTTAAATCCAAATCCAGTCTATTTTTTAATTCACTGGACATCAATTGTGCATCTGGTCAGATTATTTACATAGTTTAACAATGTTCTGTCATTATCCAAGATAATGCACTGTAGGCTGCTGGGATAAGGGAGAGTTGAACTTCAACATCAGATTCAGCATGTCCTTTACTATAAGCCAAACCTTTCAGCTCTTTTCTGTTTCTTTATCTACAATAAAAGATGGCAGTGTAGTATTATCATAGAGCTCTGCTACGAGTACGAGCACTGTATAAATGTTCTAGTACTTATTTCAATAACCCTTGACTTTCCATCATATATTATAAGGTTGAAAGAGCACATAATTTGACTAATGAACTTCATCTAGGATCCAAACACTTGTAATTGACAGCAAATCTAAAATATGTTCTACTCTAATCTACCAACCCCAATCTCAAACAAAAACTATAATTCCCTTTATCTTTAATCAATGTCATATCAATCCCCTTAATTTTCTTACAATGTGCTCAATATGAGAGAGATGATGCCTTGACATATCTGATTCATTCAACTTAATTTCACTTTTCCAATGATGTACAACTTGACAACATGTTGGAAAGTCTATTTGATATCATGAGTAGTATGATTAAGATTGACAACCTGAAAAGACTGGTAAAACTAATGGGTTCCAGGAAACTGGGCATGTAAGACATGGCTATTTGGAAGAGCACTCGCCTGGATAGTAGGCAGTTGTGGGTTTGATTCCAATGGGGTGGACTTTTAAACAATGGCCCTTAGCACAGGGTTTCATTAGCTATAAAGAAGAGGAACTGAATATTCTGTATTTTAAAATGAAGTTGGCTGTGAGCACCCTGTATTCTATGAAGAAATGGACTGAACACCCTGTATTTTACTAAGGATTTAGTAATAGTAAGTCAACTTACTGCTATTTCATCTGCACTGTTAGTGTTTGATTTTGTATTTGGACCTGTTATCACTGTACCAAAACGTTCTTTCCTCTTCAGAATCTTATCAGCTGTTTCAAGCTTAAATATAAATATAAATTAATTTAATAATATATATTCACCTAACAAAGTGTATGAAACTTTGGTTGCCTCAATTACATCATTTTTGTTCTTAGCAATAGAATTGGAAAAAGTGCCAAAAAAGTACAGATAAATTCAGATACTGTCCCCTAAACATGTAGTTTTATTTGTGGTATCATAAACAGTAAAGTATAGTTTGTACTGCTTACCTTTGAAAGTGATGAGGACACGGTCACACCAAATCTCTCTGCTCTAGATTTGAGTTTTTGAATATCGGCATCCTGAAAACCATGGAGACAAGCCTATTGTTAAAATATTTGAAGGAAACATATTACAAAATTCTGCATTTCTATTATGCTCATTAAGACGGAGAGATTAACAAGAAATGTAATCAATTAAGATAAAACAAGGCATTGACATGCAAAATGTCACCACTAACCATTTGTTACAGACACTGACCACCAAACACCAACTGCCAGATGCTGTCCAAAAAATGTTGGAGACAGTTACAATATGTCCCCACTTCTGGCTATATAGCTTCAAGAAATGTGTCATGGTATTGACATAGAATATATCAACAAGTGCACCGAATAAAGCAGTGGGAAAATACTTGAAAACAATTGCAAGCAAAATAAGAATTTTTCACAGTGAAAATATTTACTTTTTCTTATTAAAATGAAGGAGTTTTAGAAAGTAAAAAATTTAATTTTTATGATGTTTCCAAATATTTGCTATTTTGTGTTTTCTAAAGGCTGTGATTTGCATTTTGTCATAATGGGTTGATGCTTTTTTATAACTATAACTATAACAAATATTTTAACTGTCAGTAGAAAGTAAATCATCAAACATCAAATTACACTAATGAGTGAATATATTTATTAAATACACACTATCTGTGATAATGAATCCTTGTAATACATATCAGATCAAAATATTAATCTCATGTCATAATAATGAAATGTAAATAAGACAGTAATGATATAAATGATCAATAAAATACCATTTACCGTAATACTGATATAGCTTTTCATAAAAATTGCATTCCGATAGATTTATTCTACAATGATGAACTGGCAATGCTTTAGAACAGCATGCATAACTGAATAGTTAAAAAACCACCTCCTTGAAAGATTATATACAGAGCGATGTTTTCACTAGAATTTCTCACAACAGACTAAATAAATTAAAACAACAGGCAAAATTAATGGAAATCATAAATTTAATATGGAAAAGCTGAAAACGTCCCAAACAGGCGATTTTGTGAAAACAACCGGTGAAAATCGCCTGTTGCCTGCTGCTGAAACCACTGCAGAGTGAACACAAGTTGAAAAAAAAAAAATGAGATGGCCATGGGATAATGCAAGTTACCTTGGGGACGGTACCACTGGTAGGTGAGGTTGTTGGAGATGTAACTGGAAGACCAAATCTCTCAGCGCGTGACTTTAACTTCTCATCGCTGGAAACCTAGATAGAAAAAAAAAAAAGATAAAAAAAAGTTAGAAAAGATTGAAACAGTTTTAGCACAAATGGCTAGCAGGATTTTTCCACTCAGGATATTTGGGTATTAAGTTCAGAATTCTCATTTTGGCTGTTCCAGACCAGAAATCCCCATACCTGGTCAAATAATTTCAATTTTATGAACTTCTCAATTAATATCAGGATACAAAATTTTTAATTATCAGCTAGACACTGGAAATGAGATGTTGGCTGGGAAGATCATTTATATACATGGATGCTTGTGTCTGACTAGTTTGTGAATTCTTTCAGTTTATCAAAATATAATTGATGGTTCACTCACCTTAGATGCAGACTGTGGACTCTTTACTGGAAGTCCAAATCTAGAAAAAATAAAAAATCATGTTTACAGTTATATATATTCTTCTCTTAATTTCTGGGAAAGCACAGGTTAATATTATGAAAGCCCCAAATTTTCCATCCTCCTAAGCAGGTGTCCAGAATCTGTACCTCCTTCTTCCCCCTGCTAAAACCAATTTGGAAGCGCCCGATTAAACTGAATCACGTGATCTTATTATGTGCAATGACTTATACATGATTTCTGTCGACAGCCAATCAGATTGCGAGTTCTTAATCGGGGAAATGCTTACTGCTTATCGCAGGGGGTAAAGAAAGAATATATTCTGGATTTTGAAGCCCTGTGATCGGAGGATGCAAATTTTCAAAAAATTGTAAGAACCAATTTTTACCTTATTACATTTCTGAAGAATTTTTTGACTATTTGTATATTACACTAGTATGCAAACTCAAAGTAATAGGCGCATGTATCTCATAATCCATAAATACAAGGTCAAATACCTTTCTGCTCTCTGTAGCTTTTTATCAGTATCTGTAGGAGGGAGTCCAAATTTCTGTGCCCTGAGTTTCTGCTTCTGAAATCCAAAAATATAAAACTTTTCAATTTTGGTCTAAATAGTTTTCAAACATATATCCCTTTACTGATATGATATTATTTTAAGATGAAACATGATAAAACATTTCAGTGTCTTTCTTTTTTTGATATTAAATGTCTTGTAAAATGCATTGGGTTTTTCTTCAATGCTACAAGCGGGGTGATAAATATATGTAATATTATGTAACTCAGTGGGTTATGAAGCATGTATCTTACCTCAGCATCTGTTAGTTCTGCAGTTGCCTTTAGTTTTACAGCTTTGTGTTCTTCTGTGCTTCTAAAATACACATTGAAATACATGTCAAATATAAACAATTTCCTGGCATCTGTGATGCTTATTCCACTTCATTTATGTAAATAAATTTTCAATTTCAAAAGCTACAAGTGTGTCCAATTTTACCAAATATAACAAAAGCCCACAGACAAACAGTTTTAAAGAGACTGACAACCACATTTCGAGAGATCAACCAAATGAATGTCTTGCCAGGTGAACTAGCTGCTACAAACTAATACTTACATTTATATCTGCGTCCTTTACACATTGTCAAAATTATCTATCCAACAATTAATATAATAGGCTTTGTAAGAAAAATGTTACATTTTTGCCTGCTATTTTGCAAGATTGACCACTATTACTTAATCAAGGCAAATCTATTACAGTGTCTATTAACTTACGGAGATCCTGGTTCAACGTTTGGTTTAGCTTCAGTAGGTTGATCTGATACCACTGGAGTTTCAGTAACAGTCTCATCATCTCCTTTCAACAACTCTTCTTCATCTGTAACACAAATATGATATACCTGAACATCGTTAATACAAGCATATACCAGGTCGTTCAATAAGTTCACTGAAAAATACTCTCATTTCAAAGATTCTTGATATTTTCTCATGAAAGTTTCACACAATGTATAACAAATGCTTTCTGATTGATTCTTAAAATATCAGCATCTCTAATTTGATTGGTCAAAAATAAGGGTTACTTTGGTAACTTGCTTTATGGGTAGGTGGGGCACTTTTTGGTCAAATTAGAGATGCTGATATCTAAAGAATCAATCAGAAAGTATATTTTATTCATTGTGTGAAAATCAAAAATCATTGAAATGAGAGCATTTTTCCGTGAACCTGTTGAACGACCTGGTACTTTCGCAAACATGTCAACAACACAGTATTAAAGAGAGTAATGAAAATGTATGGTATGACATACATCATTAACATCACCAGGAGTATAACCCATTATCACATAACCATTATCACATAACAAGGCTTAATAGTCATGGTATTACCAACATGATAATTTAAATCAGTTCCATAAATTGTTACATTGGTAAGGTTTTTGTCTGCTAATTCAAAATCATACCTATGAACAATGTATGTTCAAGGTATAAATTCTAAATCAGCCCAACCATTATTTAGGTCAGATAACATAAGAATCTTGTGTGTACTCCCCTCCCCTTTTTGCCACTGAGAAAGTGGGTGTTGAATGACTGCTTCAGAGTTTCACCTTCACAATGTGGTGCAAAGTTTCACCTTCACAATGTGGTGCAGAATGGTAAGTCCGATCCCGATGTCATTTGTTTGGAACTTCTAAATATTTTTTCAATTCAAAGGTGATACTCTCAAAGATGTTCATTTTCCATAAAGTTCATGGTAACATGACTTTGAAATATTCTTTTTTGAAGTATTTCCATTTACAGAGGTGTTTAATTTTACTTTTTTTACTGTTTCTATGACATTTCATGTTATTATTTAGACACTGGATAATATTTGGAATTCCATGAAAATCAATGCTACAATTAAAGAGATACATACCTACACCTTCATCTAATATGGCATCATCTTTTACAGTGTCTGGGGCTGTATCAGCTGAAAGTGAAAAGTAAAATCAATTTCTTTGATTGTTTTCTTTTTTCTTTATAAGTTATTATTACGACCACAAATTGGCATGTACAGGGTGTCCCGAAAGTATGGGGCCCCCCTATGCAGACATATACCAATGTCTCCCTAGTATGTGTCATATATCATTTTAAAGCTTATCCAAAGTTACATTGATTTGCCAAGTATCATGGTTCAACTCACAAATGGTAAAAAGTTACAGGCATTATACTTTACATTATACTACCATACTTTCGGGACACCCTGTATTGTTGTGCAGTCCTTGTTAAAAACAATGTCTAAGTTTGCATTACTTTTATCATCAGCTATCTAGTGTCAAGAATGTAAATGTTATAGCGTTACAAAGAATTGGAGTATTCACCTTTCCCCAAAGTCCAAAGTGTACTCATTTGACCGCTGCGCTGATTGGACGATGAAAATCAATGACGTCAAAGCAGGGCACATTTCGCGCCAAAACTTCAATTTGTATTAGATCGCCGATTGAGTAAAATAGATCTCATTATAAAATGATAACAAAACTAAGTGAAATATATTTTTCTGACTATTTTGTCTTAAGCTATGTCTTAAATACACCATCAGGTAAATCAAACCATAGAAATAATTGTGATACGAGTGCTCATCTTTGAACAAAGTGAATCCAACTACGCAAACCAAAGATTGACAGTCATTCAAACAATAAGCCTGTATGGATTAGGAATATACATTTATCATGATTATTCAATTAAATAGTTCATTATGTTTCTATTAAAAAGTATATGAAGAACAGTTTTAAATGTCAGAGTCCACTTGCATTTTTCTCATCGGGTTGCCCAAATAATTTGCGATTGCTCATGGTCAAATTATATATTGAAGTAAATAATATTCATCATACTGTACTAGTTTGCATTTTAACTGCAATTCAAAGCTTAATTACAGGAAATTCTTTAAAAATCATGCAGTTTTTTATCATTCTGAACACTTTTCGTATGATTTTTTTGCCAAAACTGTCAAAAAGCTACCCCTTAGTAAAACCGCTCCCCCAGGTAAATCCTGACTACGGGCTAAGTGAATTGCCAGAGTTTCTCTCTTGTAGGTCTACGTCCAAAATCCTGATAGTTCTCTAAAAAGATCGATATTTATAAGAACGCCCATGGGCTTTTCAAGAGATAAATCTCTTCAAATAGACGATCGTGGGTAAAACAAGCAACTCTGGTACATTGTCTCAAAGCATACATGAACGGCTTTAACATTGTTCAATGAAATTAGTCATCACACATGTAACCATTGTCAAATTCTTTGCATGGCAGACATAAAAGTAACATTTTCATGTGGTATAATAGTTGGCTGAACGTAAGTGAAAATAACGCACCGTTGGCCCAAATTTGAGAGTCGAATACTTTTTCTTCAAGGTTAAGTCGTATCCCCTTTTCACCCCATGAGAAAATATTACACGAACTTAAGATTACCATGAGATGTTGACATTTTGACAGATGAGAACTAAACATGGGGTTTTGTACAATCGACGTAATTTGAAAATGTACAGGAAACATTGGACTCTTCACATTAATATTTCTCTATTTATTTGATTTCCCAGAACAATATAAAGAAGGGGCAATAAAGACGTGAGTATAATTAATTCAATTCCATGACATTTATCATAAATATTATTACTACTCAACATAATTTGACAATAGAATTAACCCGTTTCTGTCACGATTCACATTGACTCCTAATGTGTTTAGATTTTCCCGCGAAAATCTGCCCTACTCTGACGTCAGAGATTTCAGATTTGCTAATTATAATATTCATGAGCTGACTTTGGGGAAAGGTGAATACTTGGGGATTTACACAGTAAGCCCATATGTGCAAATTTGCCCTAGCTAACCTGGATTCCCAATGTGCTCCTGTAGTCTTTCCACTAACTCTGTTTTGTTCCCTGAGAGGGGTAGGCCTCTTTCCTTCAATTCTTTTTTCAAGTCTGCAACCTAGAAACAAAAGAGTTTGACAGAGTCTATAGATATTAATTATTATAGTCATACAAAGCTATTTTACTTATACATTATAACAATGATGTGTTGATCTATCTGGCTTGTTTTTGATATTGTTTTTATGACATGGATTTCCTGTATATTTCTGCATCTTTGACAGTTTTACAGTCATACTATCAATTATGTTATCAATATTTATCACATCTTCCCGAGAATATAATACTAAATGTCATTGGACATTTTTGTGACTTGTTTCCTTTCAAATGTGGCAAATATGTTTATGGATTTGTGGCGTTTAGATTTTAAGGTTATGAATTATGTCCATTGGTCAGCCAGGTTCATTAAATGATATTACAGTAAAATCTGTCTCTAGTGGACACCCTACCTTCAAACATACTCTACTGATTTCAGTATAAATTACCCTTTCTGTAATGAACACCAACACTGAGCATTTATATCTTCGCATAAAATGTTAAATATACACAGCTTTTACTGTATATGACCTTGACATCAAAGTATTAGTGAAAATGGAGCAAGTGCCTGTTTAACACTTCAAAAAATCAGATGAGAATAATCTACCAGGATTATAGAATCTTAAGAACGGGGGAAAATGAGATGTACACTTCAGCCCTGGAGAAGAATAAATGAGAAATATGTTTTTTAAGCATGGACAGAGGTCATAAAAGTAATTTCGGAAAAATTTGAGTTCTTCAAATACTGTATGCCAGGTATATTTCGATGCTATTTATTTCGCAAAATTTGAGAAACTTCATTATTCTCTAAATCCTCAAGCTTTGTAAATTTAAGTAACCTTAGACCCCCTGAACTTTTGACACAAACAATGGTTCAATTATGTACAGTAATCCTATCTACCCAATAGGGATGTCACAATTTCCCCATATTTTTCCGTCCCTCAGGACTTTGGTTTCGGGACGGGACAACCCTTGTGTACCGAAGATTTCGGTCCATGTTCAGAGTCTATTTCTCCTATATGACCACGCTGCATAGGCAAAACCGGAAATAGACGGAAAATGTAAGTTGTTGAACTGTTTTAAACTCATTAACTATTTTATTGGTTATGCCCCACCCGAATGTCCCGTCCCGAAATAGATAATTCCCGTCCCATCCCAAAATAAAATAAATCAGCCCTTATTTGTTAAAGGCTATTTACAAACTTCCATCTTCAATCAGCATAGGTCGGGGAACATTGTATAAAAAATTGGGTCGAGTTCTGTATGATTGCACCCCACTGGCCCATAATATTTGTGTAATTCTGACCATGAGTAGGTATTTTATCCTAGAATTGTGACTCCTCTTGACTTTACACAAACACAGGCTTTGCTGTAGATGTGTTTACCGTGAGTGAAATATATAAAATAATCTGATTGGTTTAGATCATTCGTGTGCATAATCCCGCATGCGTGCCATCTGTGCCAGATATTTTTCTATTACTTTTTTCATTCCATGGGAATTTGTGTTTTACACGAGTTGCTTGAAACGAAAAAAGATAGCGGAAGGATAAATATTTAACAGGTAAACTCACATCGATATTTTAGAGATTTTGCCTATATTAGCAAAACTTTTGCTTTATTTGTGTATTCTATCCATGTAATAAGAGTCTTAGGCTTCTATTGGCGAATACGTTTCAGGAGGAACACTCAATTTATTTTGAAAAACCAATTCTTTTTTTATATGTTTAGCCTATAATTCTTTAGACTATATCCTCTAGTCTGACATTTTTTTGAAATTTGGAATGAAAATATTCAGACTATAGCCCACACATGTTAAAATTTGGGATTGAAAATTTATTTGTTTACATAGGAAGTGCCATTCAAAATGGCCGACTGGGTAAATTAATTTGCATATTTGTTACTTCCCCTAGCTTTATTTCCATTTGACAATATGCTGTGTTACTTTTTACAGCATTTAATTGTACCTTACTACTTAATTGAATTGTTATAATGCTTATTTTTGGGAAGTGAAGTTTCCTAAAATTGATAATAGTTTGCAGGAAATTTCCTGTTTTTTCCCACAGGAGGGACATAATGATCAATAGACTGAATTCTCAGGAAATTCAGTCAATTGGATATAGACTAATAATTCTTACTGCAACGGGTGAAATGAAGAAAAAAAGAAAACATTTATCTTTGAGGTTCCAAAATTTTGTTACCAAAATGAACCGTTCTAGTAACCAGCATAATCGAGTGGATCACCAATGTACTTTACAAGCTTATCTTTTTGCAACGCATTTCCTACTTTTATTGCAATACGTAATAACTGTTATACCACTCTAAGTCAGATTACAGTTGTATAACATGGGTCTATAACAACGATATACAGTGGAGAGTGGTAGGGCGAAGGGGTGTAACGTCGACACCGTTTTGGGGTAACTTCGACATGTGGGGTAACTTCGACACCTTGTTGTTTATTTGCTCTAATTTCCGATCTAGGGGGAAGCCATGTTTTTTTTCTCGCATGGATCGAGATCTCGCGAGATTTTAATTTTTCCAGAAATCAAACATGGCGGAAAACGGAAATTCTACTTCTAATACGTAAGTGTCGAAGTTACCCCATCTATTATGTCGACATTACCCCACACGTCGACATTACACTCCTTCGCCCTATATCGTCATCGTATACAACTCCTCCGTATACACTCCAGCGTATACCACTGTAGAAGTGCATTCTGGGAACTAATGAATATTGACCGAAGAACGTCAGGTGTATGTTTTGTTACACATGATTTCCTAGAATCAAGTCATAAATGGATCGAGATCAACATCGGCATTACTGAGTTGGCTATGGGATATTTTTATGGTTTTTATAATTGTTATGATTGTGTTTGAATCAACTGTAATTGAACTTAGAATGGCATAATAAGATTATATAATTGTTCATTCTGTATATCGTTCATTTTATACTCTCGTGAGAATATAATATATTCACTCGTTCGCTACGCTCACTTGTGAATATATTATATACTCACTCGAGTATAAACACGATATACAGAATGAACCATTATATAACCTCATAGTCTAGAATATACGATTACAAGTATACCAGGAAACCGATTCACACAAAGGAAAAATTAGATGCACTAACTCTGGAATTATTTTTGTATTATACATCAAAATTCGGATCGAATCCATTGTATAAAAAATAAAATTACGCGTGGGGGGCGATAATATGTGAAAACTAATATTTTTAATATTGTGATGGCGATTACTGACACATCGGACGATAAACGTTAAAAAACCAATGCACAGAACCATCAGCATAGTTTGTTCGTACTATATAACGTTGCTTATAGTATATCAGTACAATCAAAAGTGGATAATATTACCTTTAGCTTGCTCAAATCTTTCCCTCCGAATGCCGCCATATTGATTTTTAGTGGTTACACTAAATCTGCGAACGCAGACTAATTTTAAGAACAAGCGTAATGCGAACACTTTCGGCCTTATTGGACCTTTTCATGGCGTAGAATAATGGAAATAACGTCACAGCGCATGCGCGTAAATCGACATTTCATGGTCCAAAGATTTCAATGGAGAGCAGTCTTCATCAAAATTTAAAATCTTAATATCTTTTTAGCAAATCATTTATTTTCTTAGGATTCAACGGATCCTTGTTAGACCCGACGAAGTGTTCATTTTGATATATAAAACAGCAAAATCCATCCACAGATCTTTCGGCCTTTTAATGATTTAATTTTCGGGATATTTTGCTAAAATCCCCCATTGGCCGCCATTATAAACTTTGAAAAAACCCAAATCCGCATCATTTCATATCATTCGTTAAGTGATCTAAACAACTCCAATCGCTTAGGATTCAACGGATTCTAAGAGATCAAAGCTAATACAATATGTTGACAACCCCCGTTTCAATATTTGCCGCATAATCTTTCGGCCTTTTAGGTTATAAATTTGTCAATATTTTGATTTTCGACCATTAATGACGTACTTGGATCCGAGATTCATTGTCCCGGGATTCATGACGCTATTTCCATTATTCTACGCCATGTTGTGATATCTATAGGCTTAACAGTGTAAACATCAATATTCTGGTGGATAAAATAAACATAAATATAAAACCCAAAATTTGGCCCATATTTGGAACAATAAGGCCCATTTTCTTGACAATTTGGCCTATAAACACTTAATGTTAAGTTATATATCTGCTTTTATTTGGGCTTATTAGCCTTTTGCAGATTATTGACATAGACATAGACAATAAAAGGTCCAATAAGGCGGAATATGCCTACACAGATCCATAAAATGACGGGAATGAGAAATATTCGTGCACAGCCACACATTGTTATTGATTTTGACGGACGTCAGGCTACCGTGTTGACGCTGTCGATTCATAAAATCATTACGTTCTTGTAGGCCTATACATACAAAACGTTTTCTTGGAAGGGGCCCAAAAGTATTTTTTCAGACCTGAAATACCGTTAATGGCCCCTGTTAGCCCCTGGTATGAATAGTATATGTATACACCCAAATTAGAAATACATACGAAATACCAGGTTTTAAAGGGCAACAGAGGCGTAGCCAGCACTTGTCAAGGGGTGCGATTTGTTTTGCATCATTGCGAGCGAAGCGAGCCCCAAAAAGGTAAGGGGTCATAATTGTATCTGATGCATTCTAAGTATTTCAAACTATAATTTGTCATGTTTTTTTCACTGAACAAATTTTACAAAATTGCTTTTTTGTGGGATGGAGGGGGGGGGGGGTGCGATCGCACATGGCCAAATTATTCTTATTCGGCCCAAGTAAATTTACCTCTTTGGCGTTAACAAAAATATGTTCAACGATTTTTAAGTCTTTATTTGACCCCAGCAAATCATGGACTATTTCGACCATTACAAATTGGAATGGAAGTGGTCTAATTAAAGAAAAAAACACAAACCGAGATGTAACTCGAGCCAAATAAGCCCCCGGGGTCTTAGAGATGTCGTGCTGCCATTGTCTAGATCCTGCAGTCTCAACGTTTTGTTTTTCAAGTATATTTGTAGCCTTGCCAAAGTCGGTAGTTTTTTACTTATCTGATCTTAATTAAGATAAGTAAATGGCCGTCTTGGGCAAGTCTAGTAGCATATATATTAAATTTTGTTATTTGTATATAAGTTGTATAATTCAAGCTTTTATTAAAGGTTTTGTTTCTTATCAAAAAGGCACCTAATGATTTCCTTGCCTAATTCTTTACACAATTAAATAGAAAAATACGAATACAAACTCTTTACAAATGGCAAACTTGCACGAGACTGTCTACGTCTTGTAGCTATGTATGTTAGTATAAACCAAACTTTATGGTTTGTCCACTACCCAATTCCCTTAAGGATTATTACTATCAATTAGAGAGTGACCTAACACGTACATACAGACTCGACAAGTACTAACCAACTTGGGAATACAAATCTCATGAAAAATTGCAATTGCATTCTATATTTTATGTGTATTTTGATGGATGGGTTACCTTTTGCAATGTTGTGGACTCGGAGTCATTACATCTTAAGGATATATGAAGCAAGGATTCGATTACATGTCGATATATTTCTAAAGGATTGGTATCGATATGGTGAACTGAATTCAACATTGTAAACATATTATTGAAAACATACTTTAAAACACGATCCTTTTGGTCACTGATTGACAACAGTTTAATGCGAAAATTATTTTTATATATTTTATATAATTGTTTTTATGAACAATTTTTGATTAAAGTGCAATTTCTTTGTTCCTTTCTACCAATTCTTGAGAATGAAATAAGATATCTTTCCGGACCTTGTTGGAACAAAATAGCATACAACATATTCTTAGATCTCTCAATATCATAGTTATACAAAGGAAAGTTGGAACCATTCAAAAGATGACCATCAAATTGTAAAATTTTCAGATTTTTTTTGACTGGTTTAAAAGAAACATGTGTTCAATTCAGTTCACCATATCGATACCAATCCTTTGCAGTTGTTTCGACTATATCTCAGAAATCGAAAGTTTAATAGGAGCTCGGTATGATGACGACTTTAATTCCCTTGGCACTTATCAATTAAGGTAAAACATATTTGAAACCACGTGTTATAGATGTACATGTATAATATCTAGTATATATATAATCTATATACAGATCAATAGGTGCCTGCCATTTGATCACCAAAATGATAAATGAATAGTTTGATATTTCGAATGGGATACACCGTTTGTCCATTACCTGATTAGTCGAAGCATTTAGCTGTTACGTGTAAGCCCATATATATGATCTATTATCCTAATTAATTGCCAACGCGTGGCATCGGTGGTATTTTCCCATTGTCTACAAGTGAAATTGTATACCTCGACGTTTCAGTATCTTTCCTTAATACTCAATCATGATCTATCAACATGTTGTGATTCACACAGCACTTTTAATTTGTCTCCACTTCTTATTTTTTAATGCGTGGACAATATGACGGGATACCATTGAATGAAAAGTCATTAAACTTATCACTTAGTAATATAGGCGCACCTACAGTAGGATTAACCCGGCTGAGTGACAAGTAAAGTTACGGTACAAGATCTCCTCAACTTCAACGCTGCACGTTACCTTGTTCCTCTGGTTAAATCAAAATACCCTTTGAAAACTACCGTTTGTGTCGGAGCCTAGTCCACCAGGATGCTCAACCCCTTCTAAAGAAGCAAAATCAACGATTTGATATTTGTGAACATTCAGAACAAACAACATTTCAGTTGGTTTCAATCCTGGTATTGAAGAGTTACAGAAGTACAATGCGTGTAACTACACTATATAGAATACTGTAATTGTGAATCCAATTCGATATATTGCCATGCGGGATAGTTAATTGTTGTGTGATTAGAAAGCACGGTTTTAATAATATTTTATTACATGAATGATCGTGCGGCTACATATGCTGTAGTAATACCCGAGACTAACATAAAAATAAATTTATGATGGTCTCGGGTAATACGGACAGCCATTTGAGTACCCTGGACAGCGATTTTGAAGCTTAGAAAAACGGGATACTTCCTTTTCACTTTCAGCAAAATAATTGCCCTACGCCTATATCATCCTCCCAAAGCAGGGCTCCAGACATTATCCACTCTGTTCCCTGAACTTTCTCAGAGTCGTGCGTTCGGAGGATGCATGGATAGTATTGCCACCCAAAGTTCCATAAATTAAGTCGGGGATACTAGCATGATGTAATTGCCTTGGGTTGGTTTGATTATACATATTTGAATCGACCATGTTAGTTGAGCGTCTGCGTTGCTGTAATTTGAACCCATTGTCATTGATAAATGCTGAAACTAAAATATGTATAGCATACATAACACTGACAAATGCGATCTGATCATTTTGAAGAATAATAGGAACGTAATACGCACTTATACAGAGATGGCATTCCCTGTATGGGCGATATATACGCAACTCTTATTGTACACGGCAACAGGAGAGATTGGAACACCAGCGACCCGACATACTACTGATGCCGAGATAAAACATTAGGAGATTAATTTGAAGGGATATCAAGATGAGGTGTAAGATGTGGACTTTAATTGGTAAGGTCAAAAAGTTTGCTACATATAGAAGAGTACAGTAGAGTAATCGTTTTTTACTTATCTATTTTCAAAAGTTTTTATATCGTACAGCATCATGCGCGTGTAAGCATCTACTCATCTTTTATTTTCACATTCACAATTGGAAGAGTGTTTGAAATCAGAATTAAATTTATTTGTAGAATTTCGATGAGGCAAGTACCTCGCCTGCCTTAGACCTAGCTATGTCCTAGCTAAGTGTAGTTATCCAGACGTATAAACGTTTTATTTTAATAATTACCCTCTTGGTTTCCTACAATAGATAGTTTTAATATTGTGCATATATCATGGTTTTAAAAATTGATTGTCAACTCAACAAATTTTATCATGGCTATGTATATTGTGGATTCCCCATACAGATCCATTTACTTTTGAAACTGATATCAACCTACTAGGACCAAGTTATAGCTCGTATCGCTGTCTGCCTTACAGTCGCGTCTTGTATTTTCAGTATTTTCTCTCGTAATATCCGACGTGGATAGCTTGAAAGAAGAAGTCCCCTTATTCGAGCATCTGCTTAAGCAGTACAAACCTACATCTCGCCCTGTCCTAGCACAAAACAATACAATAAATGTCACAATGGATCTAGCACTAAACCAACTGAGGGATCTGGTAAGACTGTAAAATGATACAAAAAATAATTGCAACGAGCGAACTTTGTAAAAATCTTAAGAAATGAAGTTTGTCTGACAATTTGACTAATCAATTAGAATTTTATAATATTCATATAGTTTAGTTTAGTTTATTTTTGTGTCACTGATATTACAATATAAAATACATCTGGTAAGACTGTAAAATGATACAAAAAATAATTGCAACGAGCGAACTTTGTAAAAATCTTAAGAAATGAAGTTTGTCTGACAATTTGACTAATCAATTAGAATTTTATAATATTCATATAGTTTAGTTTAGTTTATTTTTGTGTCACTGATATTACAATATAAAATACATAATAAAAACAATATTTTGTAACATCACCAGCCATCACTAATGAGACACAGTATACATTATATCTGAGTGTCACCCATTACTACCCCCAATGGGCAGCTTGGGTAAACATTCATAACGACAGAGACATATAATGTCTCTGGTAAAGATTTAATGATAATGATTCAATGATATCAATTCACAACTCTGATTAATCAGTTTGGCATAAATAAGTAGTTCATGGAATCATATTGTCAATCATTACATTAAATACATATATTGCACCTCATGTGAGATGGATATTGCATAATAATACATATATTGCACTAAATGAGAGTAGCATGTTGCATATGGTCAAATATTACAATAAATACAAATATTGCAATAAATGTGAATTGTACAAGTATAATGCATATGGTCGAAGACAGATATTACAATAAATACATATATTGCACTAAATGTGAGTAGCATGTTGCATATGGTCAAACATTACAATAAATATGAATATTGCACTAAATGTGAATTGTATAATGCATATGGTCGAAGACAAATAAATACATATATTGCACTAAATGTAAGATGCATTTTGCATAATAAATACATATATTGCACTAAATGTGAGTTGCAAGTTGTCAAATAATGCAATAAACACATATACTGTATTGCACGAAATGTGATTTGCATGAGTGAATAAATAAAACAAGAACCCCGTAGTGTAATATGCACCTCTGTATGTAGTAGTGATCGAGACCATCTTCCCCAAGGGCGATAGCTCAAAGCACTAAAGAGAGGCATCATAAAACCAAGGAGCTTAATCTGACTAGATACATTTTAAATAAATATTTTATAAAGGAAACTTAGGTGACATTCATACTCATTTAGTGATCATAGCCTATCAATATTAAGAGATCTCTTATTGCACATATTGTAAACTAAAGCTCCTAATGGTCTTTGGAGTGAAGTAAAACATTTAAAATATGGAACGCTTCACGAATTTGCGTGTCATCGTTGCGCATATACAATGTGCACATGCTTATTATGTCAAAAAGGTAACATCTGTCCAAAAAGTTGGAAAAAGGAGGACAGGTTTTAGTCCAAGAACTACTCATACAAAACAGCAAGTTACTGTTTTGACATCTTTTAGATTAAAGACCATTGTTTTGTTTGGTCACATCAGTTTTGGCATGGTGGTAGAAACGTGACATCACCTAAATAGGTGGATCCATAATTTTCAATAATTGCTGCAACACGTACTTTGACGTTACGTTCTCCACAGTTCTCTAAAGGATGTCATGAAGGATGGATGTTATCTATTAGTAGTTTAACAGTTTGAGTTAATGTAGCACTTACTGTAAATCATGAAGTTTGTGGAATGAGCACAACATCCGTCAGTTTAGGTGATGTCATCCTTCTACCCTTATGCCCCAGTTTAACTCGAACAATCAAACATAACTTTCGTCTGTCCGAATATACATGAATCCCTCTCTACTTTGAGTCCATTGACATTGTAACACGATACAACATGACACAACACCACGACATTCATTGATTTAGGTGATCTCACCCGTCTCATACTTTGCCCAAGTTTGACTAAGACTGGTAAATTCAAACAAAGTTTCGCCTGTTCTCTAAAAGATGTTTAAAGATATACACATGAGTTGAGTAGATACTCAGATATAGCTTTCTCGAATAATTCACTTTTTGAGAATCACGTACGTCTTGTCTAAGATGTTCCTAATCCCAGGCTTGTGAATTTGATTAGAATATGTATTTCAATCGTTTGTGGTTTACTTTTCAGAATGAACCTGACCAATATTTATTAGTGGTCGTCTGGTTTCGATACGTGAGTATACATTAAAAATACATGCGTTCCCTATTAGTTAAAAAGCCAACATATTAGAGAGATTTTGCAACTCACTTATAGCATGTTTATTATTCGGTATAACGTCCTTAAGTGTATATTCTTATAAATGTTCGTATGTACGTTAGAATATCACACTTATGGACGTATAGAGCTGCAAGAAATGACGACGTTATCAAACGCTTCATAAGTTATACGTTAGGAAAATAAACATGCTATAAGTGATTTGCGAAATCTCCATAACATTAGATGATCCTTCTTCCCGTTAATGGAACTATGCGACTAAATCAAAGTTTATGTTATACAGTTTGTTAAAGCTGATTTCCCTCTACACAGATTTTACATGTCTCTGCTCTACATGAACAGAAGTAAGATATGTTTTCAGAAAAAACTTCAGTTCATTTCTAAATATCTTTCTTTGCTTCATTATCGACTGCGAAAAAATGTATATCATCCCGGGCAAAAATGTTATTTGAGATATCAATCAATATCAATCAATATCATCATCTGCTGGTTAGTAACTATTTAGAACGGAAGTGATTACATCATAATGTAGGAATAATAGTACAATAACGTCATTTCGAAGGGCAATATAGTCGGCCCTCGGTCCAATATTTCACTATATTGCCCGCAGAAATGAGGTTATTAGTATTATTACCACCGTTAATTACCAGGACTGAAACAGCAAGAAAATCTTACGCTCTGAATGATATCTAATTTCCCAGGGAAAATTGCATGCCGGTCATAATTGCACACTTGACCGGCTATGGTAACCGCCACTATGACCTCACATATGGTCCAGGTCGATATAGTAAAATGAATGCCTTCTAAACTAGCACTAAAACCCCTAGAACTGGCCCGACAAGGTGGTAATAATATGGAAGGGAAAGGGTGAACATAACAATCAAAATAATCAGAGTCATCTTTGAAGACTAGTCTTATGAGACTAAACCATTAATCTATTTGTAAAAAGATACGTCAAGTTCAATATTGAACATCCACATTTGCACTTCGTTTTTCTTTTTTTTAAATTCTCTGATCCGTCTCATAATTGTATACATATCTAGCTGTGACCGATTATAATTGTATACATCTCTAGCTGTGACCGATTGGGCAACTTTAAAATTGTATACATCTCTAGATGTGACCGATTGGGCAACTTTATAATTGTAAAAATGTCTAGATTTGACCGATTGGGCAACTTTATAATTGTATACATCTCCAGATCTGACCGATTGGGCAATTTTATAATTGTATACATCTCTAGATGTGACCGATTGGGCAACTTTATAATTGTATAAATCTCTTGATGTGACTGATTGGGCAACTTTATAATTGTATAAATCTCTCGTAGTGACCGATTGGGCAACTTCATAATTGTATACATCTCTAGGTGTGACTGATTGGGCAACTTTATAATTGTATACATCTCTAGATGTGACCGATTTGGCAATTTTATAATTATAAACATCTCTTGATATGACCGATTGGGCAACTTCATAATTGTATACATCTCTAGATGTGACAGATTGGGCAACTTTATAATTGTATACATCTCTAGATGTGACAGATTGGGAAATTTTATAATTGTATACATCTCTAGATGTGACCGATTGGGCAACTTTATAATTGTATACATCTCTAGATGTGACCGATTGGGCAACTTTATAATTGTATACATCTCTAGATGTAATGATATTGCAGTTTCACTCTAGGTATGAACACATCCAATTTCATCAAACATGTAACTGTCAAAAACCTCTTATAATCTAATGGACAATTTATACCTTATATCAACAGTAAATGATTAATCATATGTACTATGAACATTTTAGGATTGTCTCGAGGTCACATTCCTTTTGAGACTCCATCACAGACTAACCATAATTTCATTGCTCGCAAACCTTACACTAGCTTCCCAAACACTTACTTTTAGTAAGTGTTGTATGCAGTCAGATATTTCTTCTTGCAAGGTGAAATTAGATAATGTTTTTTCTACTTAGGTGTGTTATTATCCCCTGCACTGATTTTATTGCGTTCATCTGACTTTGATTGTTCGAAAGATTTATTTATCAATTTAACGTATAAGTGATGATAAACTAAAACAGATCCATTACATTCAATAAATTGGGGTCGAGATAACCCGAGTATCAAAGGCCGCCATGCAACGTTTGAAGTTATCGTTTATTCATTCATAATTTTATTAAAAATTGACTTTTGAAAAATGTTCCGATCTTTTAACTTAACAAATATTTGAATTTCCCGCCAAAGCAAAACGTTTTTTGATGATCAAATACATTTTTTCACAATTAATTAATTCGTTTTTCTTTAGTTTTTGAATATGATTAATTTTAAAATACGCACCTTTGTTGTTGTCTTACTTATCTCGAAAATAAATATTTATCATGTTTTGAATATTTTTCTACCATTGGTATGAGTGAAAACTGCTTTGGTAATTATCATTTCTATATGTGACTTTGAATCTGTTATAGCACCAAAATAGTGCCAAAAGGGGAAAAAACAAAGAGAACTGCAAAACAAATTCTGGGCAACAACTCAAAACGTCTTTAGGCGCGTGACATTAGCCTTCCTTTTTGCCCCCTTTGTCACTTTTGCATGCTTATTTTTCAGTGGTGGATTGATGAACATCTCACATGGGATCCCAATGAATGGAGTAACATTACCGAACTTCGGTTTCACAGAGATGAAATTTGGAAACCCGACATAATGATATATAATCAGTAAATATGCTTTTCTAGTTGATCAAAACTTCAATTGCAAAGTCATTACATGTAACAAGGGAGTATAGATAGAATGGTTTATAATTGAATATAAGGTACATAAACAAACAAAACGTGAACTGTTTATATTTTGTCTTCGTGAAAAGTCTACATTATAAATAGAGTATTCTTGTGATTTTAGTGCAGATGAAGAACGCCATTCTGCAGAGGTTCTAGGAGAGTATTTTATCAACGTATACAGTAATGGTAGTGTCTATTGGCCTGTCCCCGCAATGATAAAAACCACATGTAAAGTTGACGTAACGTACTACCCCTTTGACACACAGAGGTGTCCAATCAAATTTGGCTCTTGGAGCTACCATGGGTTTCACCTTGATTTGCATCCTAAGAATGACACAGGAGATCTAACGAATTTCATTTCGCATGGCGAATGGAAAATTTTAGAATTTCCCGCTGTTAGGACATCTTTACTTTACGGTTGTTGTGATGAACCATACATTGATGTCACGTACACCGTTGTCATGCAACGCAAACCTATGTTTTACATCTTTAATCTGATGTTACCCTGTGTCCTGTTGATGGGGGTTGCCATGCTGGTGTTTTATTTGCCATCAGAGTCCGGAGAAAAGGTGTCACTAGCAGTTACGTTGCTGTTATCCATGACTGTGTTTTTGCTGGTAATAGCGGAGAATATGCCTCCTACATCAGATGTCATACCATTAATAGGTTTGCCCCTTTGCTATTTCATTCGGGTCTGTTCATGGCGTTTCTATGAAGAATTCGTTCCGTTCTAATTATGTCAAAACCAAAACCAGCTTGACTAACAAAACAACCTTTTTTGGGGTTGTCGAGTTGGCCGGCTTGAGCGCCGGCACGTTCAGGCTAGGCGATTGGGCGCCGTAACCACGAGGTTGCGAGTTCGAGACGCGTGTGCTCCTTGTGTTTATTCATTGATAAATAATGACATACCTTCATCCGGACACCGTTTACTAATTATAGTATAATTTGTCTCCCTCTAGGTCAATTCTTTGGTGCTACGATCGTCATACTTGGATTATCTACCGTTCTAACGGTGATACAATTGAATATACACTTTAATGGCGAGCATGGGTTAAAGGTGCCAACAGCCGTGCGGAAGATCGTACTGGTCTACATGGCTAAACCAGTCGGTATGAGACGCTTAGTTGCTTTCCACCTTGAAAGACTGAAGGTAAGCGATTCTGAATACTGAGTATTCTGAGTATTAGTCAATTATTTTATATATAACATTTTATGATTTAAATGGTGTATTGTTTACTGTCATTTCTGTAAGATTTATTTCTCTGTTTAGGCATATGATGAAGTAGATGAGGATATCAGACAGAGCATCTGTGATTTACAAGGGCCAGATATCATGCAACTTTACAACACCAGAACAAAGGTGCAAAAAATTGAATCCCTGTCAGGTAACTTGTCTCCGTTACCTATGTCAACGATGGGTACTACGTCCCGTGCGTTGACGCCCAGTTTCGGATCAGTAAGGTCAAAGTCACCAGGTGATAACCGTTATGGTGCTAGGTCGCCATTTGAACCGTCGATGCAAAATAATGTTGTCACTGGGCAAACCAATTCGATTCTTTTGGACATTCTGCGAAACATGGAAGAGATGAACAACTTTCTTAGTAATGAAAAGGAAGAAAAAGAAACAAGAGGTTTACACAAGCACGAATGGCAACTGGTTGCTATGGTAATGGACAGGTATCTGTTGATAGGAATGGTTGTATTGACTCTCGTCACGATTCTTGCGATTTTTCTGGGACCGCAGGATTATTCGAAGGGGATTTACTGGGAAGAAATAACTTCATGATTGATACAGATGTCCCCGCACAATGATGGCAAGTCAGTTCAACAGAGAAGAAAATCAGTTTTACAGGGCTATCCCTGAGCAAGAACATAGTAGTGCACCTGAATGTATTTCCCACACCTGTTTAAACTAGAGCTGCTTATACGTATTTCCCTGTTACATTGTTTTGTATTAACTTTAAAACACTAAAAATCAAAATATATTTATTGTACTGTAGTATGATGATTTACTTTTGTGCTGTTATGAAAACAACAGTCCATCAATGTCTTTATATCAGCATCAACATATCATTGAAAAATTAAATATTGCATCAGGTATCGTAAAAAGATCCTAAATAAATAACCAATACTCATCATTGCCACGCCTCATGCCATTTTATTCAAGTCTGGACCACTGTTTATTTTTGTATTTTATATATCGAAGCCTTTGAATTATATGTAACACCAAAACGATGTAAATTGGTATATGGACAAAGCATTTGTCACAAAAATATTGAAATGGATTTAGCCGAAGGTGTACATAATTTGTACATTAGGCTATTAACCCATGTCATTTCTCGTTATAAATTGTTCCATCAACATAATTCGATTATGTGCAGTGCAGACTTGACCAAATAGTGTCATTTGAAGTATAGCCCAATATAGAGATGATACATATGGTCATATCCTGACAAATTATAATGACAAATCCTATATGGGGTGTGGATGCGCTAATAGATGCAGATCCAGACTATTGTTGATGCTTGACGAGAAAATAAGAGTAAAACAAGAAGAGAAATGATTACTCTTAATAAACGGTCATTTCTTATGGGACTTATTGGTAAGTTTTGTTTTATTCAATATTACATTATAGAATACTTCTAAAAGCATTAAACAATTTTTAATGTAATAATTATATATATTATATATATTCTAATGATGTGTTTCTGAAATACCTCAATTATATATCAAAGGTATAGTATAACAATTAAGCCTTTAATCTCGTTTTGTAAGGCATGGTCCTAGGGTCACTAGGGGTAAATAGCTTAAAGGAGGAGATGCCACTGTTTCACCACTTACTGAAGGAATACAAAGCTACGTCACGGCCAGTTCTTGCACAGACAACAGCAATAAATGTAACCATGGATTTAGCTCTAAACCAACTGAGGGACTTGGTAAGATATCAACATGAACATAGATTTTTTCTTCATTTGAAAGTGCTAAAATGATTCTTGGCCGATTACCCGATACCTTATTATCCAATCGAACGTCGTTCTAGAGGGATATAGAAAAGTCATTCGTCTGTCCGTTCGTTCATGTGTCCAGACAGTAACTCAAATACCGATTGACGGATTTGGTTCAAATTTTAAAGGCTTGTGCCGACGGACAAAGAAGGTGCAGTGCGCAAGAAAATGAATACCAGTGGACTGACTTTGTTCAATTTTACATGCTGATGCCTAGGGACAAAGTAAATCTGCTTAAGAATTTTCCAAGATAATCGCTTAATTTCTAAATGGTCGCCATTTTTCTCAAAAATGCAACATTCTCTATCTTGTATGAGTACAAGTTTATGAATACTATATACTAATTCACTATATTTTTGATGATACGCATATTTTTATACAAAGGACTCGTATGTTATGAGAATTGGTTATGACTTGGGAAAGAATGAAATGCCCCTTAGTGTTATGGTCTGAAATTGTGATAATGGTATTTGAATGGTGAGGGAGGGGTATTAGACATTGTTTCTTTTCACGTAAGATTATGGTTTTGGATAGTTGGGGTTAGCTTTTCTTATGACTTCTGTCAGATGTTTATTTTGGGGTACATTATAATGTAAGAGGTGAGGTTAATTAACGTGACAATGAATTTAAATAACAACCGAATTGGGAGTATATATTATATAAACGTCCCTGTATGGGTAGCAGTGTAAGATTGTCCATTCTTGGTGTCCATCGACAAATTATCATGTTACTGTTTTATGTATTTTTCACTTCAGAATGAGCCTGATCAGTACTTGATGGCGGGTGTCTGGTTTCGATATGTGAGTATACATAAATAGTGGTCGATGCAATGTATAAAACTCTTAGTTAGTATTCATCATCCGTGACCAAGGCATAGAAACATAGTTTCTCTAATTGCTGTTTTGAATCAATATCAAAACAATACCTTGTGAAATATGTACTCAAAAATAAAAAAACTCGAGCAAGTCGAACCATTAAAACCAGTATATTTCCTTAACTTCATTTCTGACCACTTTTGATATTGATTATAAATATTCATGATCATGACATATATGAGAAATTGCCATGGTCATATGTTTCTTTTCGTTGTTTCATATCACATCGGCCAAAATTATTCATCATCTATTCCTATCATATACAATTTATAAGAAATTAGTTTTTGACATTGTAACTTGGATCTATTAAGTTGGTGTTTTAGTGGTGGATTGATGAACATCTTACATGGGATCCTGAGGAGTGGAGTAACATTACTGAACTTCGGTTTCTCAAAGATGAAATCTGGAATCCAGATATACTGATATTTAACCAGTATGTATTCATACGATATATCATTCGAAGTAAAGTGAATCAATTTTTTCAAATTAGAAAATATTACGAAAAATGGCACAACCAAATGCTATTTTAAAAACCCCAGTCTTCGCTGAACAGGCTCAACAAGTCCATGGTATATACAATGGTAATCCATGTAATCAAAACACGATTAGTTGGCCTAGTTGCATCTCTTGTGTATTTGTGTATTTTAGTGCAGATGAAGAACGCCTTGCTAGTGAAGTCTTAGGAAACTACACAATCTACGTGTACAGTGATGGTCGTGCCTTTTGGCCTGTCCCCGCCATGATAAAAACCACGTGCAAAGTTGATGTCACATACTACCCTTTCGACACACAGAGGTGTCCAATCAAATTTGGCTCAGGAAGCTATCACGAGTTTCACCTTGATATTTATCCGAAGAGCTGTACTGGGGATATCAAATCTTTTGTCAACCATGGCGAATGGAAAATCTTAGAAATGCCTGCAATAAGAAAATCTTTGAATAAAGAACCATACGTTGAGGTAACGTACACAGTTGTTATGCGACGCAAGCCTATGTTTTACATCTTGAATCTGATGTTGCCTTGTATTGTTTTGGTGGGTATGGCCTTGCTGGTCTTCTACTTGCCACCAGAGTCGCAGGAAAAGGTGTCGCTTTCAGGAACGTTGCTGTTATCGATGACAGTGTTTCTGTTAGTAATAGCAGAAAACATGCCTCCTACATCAGACGTCATACCTCTTATAGGTGGGTTTCTTTTTACATTTGAAGTTTTCCATATGGAAAAATAAAGTTGAATATCGCGCCGTTACCCCTTTCAAAATTTACGGATATCGTGTAGCTTAGAGACTTTTGATATGGTAAAAATGAGAAATGAAAATCCTCTTTTAGGAAAATAAGTCCAAAACTATTTTTAAACCACAAGTCTTCACTCATTCTCCATTTCACATCTAGTATTTTGTCGCTCTAGTAAACCATTAACAGCAGCATGTTCATCATGAAAAATGATATGAATGAAATATTCATTTTTCTCTCAAGGTCTGTTCTTTGGTGCTTCGATCGTCATAGTTGGATTGTCGACCATATTAACAGTTATGCAACTGAACATTCACTTCTATGGAGTGCATGGGTTAAAGGTACCCTCAGCAGTGCGGAAGATCGTACTGGTATACATGGCTAAACCAGTCGGTATGAGACGCTTAGTTGCTTTCCATCTTGAAAGATTAAAGGTCAGTAATTGTGAATATTACCGTCACTTATATTATAATTGTTTATTTCACCATTTAATGGTTTATGACTGTCGTTCTTCTTTGTTAGAAATTATAATTGTTTACTGCTTTGTCATTTCTGTTTAATATATCATGTTTACTGCATATCAATCAAGATTTATTTCTATGTTTAGGCATATGATGCAGTAGATGAGGATATCAGACAGAGTATCTGTGATTTACAAGGGCCGGATATCATGCAACTTTACAGCACTAGAACAAAGGTGCAAAGAATTGAATCCCTGTCAGGAAACTCGTCTCCGTTACCTATGTCAACGCTGGGTACTACGTCCCGTACGTTGTCCCCCAGTTTCGGATCAGTAAGTCCAAGGTCGTCAGGTGATAACCGTTATGGTGCAAGGTCACCATTTGAACCGTCGATGCAAAATAATGTTGTGACCGGGCAAACCAATTCGATTCTTTTGGACATTCTACGAAACATGGAAGAAATGAACAACTTTCTTAGTAATGAAAAGGAAGAAAAGGAAACAAGAGGTTTACACAAGCACGAATGGCAACTGGTTGCTATGGTAACGGACAGGTATATGTTGATAGGAATGGTTGTATTGACTCTCGTAACGATTCTTGTGATTTTTCTGGGACCACGGGATTATTCGAAGGGGATTTACTGGGAAGAAATAACTTCATGAATCATGACTGATACAGATGTCATAATACAAGGATGGCAAGTTCGTTAAAGAGATGAACATACTTCAGTTGTATAGTGTATTATAGACGGAACCATGAACAAGAGCATATAGTAGTCGGAACAAACATATCGTGATATATAAAGATGTCACAGCACAACTATACAGATAAAAGCATTACAATATATCTGAGTTTTACATATAGATGGAATCAATGGGAAGCAATATATAATATCCTGGTAATATAGTTATACGTCCATTTATAGCCTTTTTTAATCAAAAGGTTTATTCCATTGATTTATGATACCATAGTGTTGGTGAAAATTGCCCCTGGGTATCAAATGCCATTCTCTTGAAATATTCGAGTATCATAAAATATAGCATAAGTTCAATAGAATACAAATAATCCCGATAATGTTTAATTTAAATCTTCTATATCATAAGAAAATAAGCGTTCAGCTGTATAGTGTAAATGAACTGAAGTATGCAAATAAAATGGCAAAAAGTTACTTATTGTTTCAATGATAGTAGATGTGCAGATGATTTAAAAATATTATGTTCAAATATATTTGTGTCAAGTCAGATCAAGCACGAGCCTTGAAAGATCTACATATATTTACACCTTGACCCATTACTTATACATGTATAGGATGGGCCAAAAAACAAGTACATAAATACCCGTTTAAAGATGAATTATTCATGTGATCTATCTCAAACCATGCAATGTAACATATTATATGCTTTTAAAGATAACTAATTCTCTAACAATATGACACCATCCGAGTGATGAAAAACATTTGTTTTTGTGGAGTTAGAGGCTAGACACCAGGGATCTCAAGAGCGACCAAAATTTAAAAAAAGAAAATTCTCGAATTTCCCTTCACATTGCAGTCACAGGTGCACTCGATATGCTTGACTGAATCACTCTAAATTTGTATAAGAACAATACACAGTTGATAGTTAATTAAAAGGATATAAGTGTTACTGGTGAATTTTGCAATGAACGTTTCTAGATGTACCTCTTTTGAAATGTGAGATGTGAATATAAATGTGTTTATTGAGCAGAATTGTTACATCCTATGCTAAATTCCACACATTCCACATTTAAGGGGTAAAATCGTCTTAAAATCATGTTTTGGACGGGTTTTGGCACGACAATAATAGAGAGGTTAAGCAACACCACTTTTTACAACGTAAACCGCGAACGGGAAGGCGCGCGCAGGTTTTTCTCAGGATGTGACGTCATATTGTTCTACTTATTTCCCGGTTTACGTACATCCAAACGTGAAAAATCAAAGTCTAGGTAGGTCGTTCCGTAAAGGATTTTTCATACTTTATCAAGTTCGATTGAGATAAATATGATATAGGTCAAATACATAGATATGTTTGACACAAATCTGTGTATATATCGAGATCATTTGTGTCCAATCTAATCAAATATAACTTGAATATTGAGGCACACATTCCATATGTAAAATCTGATGAGATTACATGCAATTGCAATTACCCACATGTCAACTCATCCTAATTCTTTATACATATTGTGACACCATAGTAATAAAACTATGAATGCCTTGAAGACTTGCTTTAAAGATATTATTGCGTCCAGTTGTATTTTGTAAGATTCAAGATGTCATAGAACACTACCAGGGTGTGAAACATCTCCTTTGTCAATAAAGTTTGTTCATAGTACGTATACGGGAACGTAAAGGTTTACGTTTGCGGTTCGCGTCATAAAAAATCGTCTTGCTTAACCTCTCTAATTAATTTTCTGTCAGTACGTTAATGCTTTCATCACACAAGCAGATCCCCAATCTGTAAATTTTATGTTTGTTTATAAACACGGGAATATACACGAGAAGTGTCACCCGTTTACTGTACATTTGATGTTGATATATATACGAGGGGTGATCAATAAGTAATGGACGCTTTTTTACACAGATACTTTTTATAGACTAATCCCTTTGATTTTCCTACCAGTGATACATCATTCAATTATCTATAATTTCTGAGGATTTGAAGACAAAATTTAAAATATATGTTGATATATCTTTATTTCCGTGAAGGAGGTACAGGTACACCGGGACCGACATTTACGTCACATATTCAGTTTTCAGCCAGTTTGGCAAATTTCAGTTAGATTTAAACTTTTCATATGAAACATGTGTTGTGTTGTTTGAAATACTTTGCTGACTGGTCAACACATAAACAGAAAGTATTGTGATGTCAGAGTGTTGTATGGAAGGGGTTTGCAGGTCAATTTGAGAAAGCATTGTGGAAGAAAGGGGTGGTGAGAGAAGGGAACACCCTACTCCATATGGACAATGCCCCTGCCCACAGATCTCAAAATGTTCAGAAAACAATATCCATGGACCTCAAAATTGAGCTCTTGGCCAATGCACCATATTGTCCAGATCTGCTCACATTTGACTTATTTATTTCTATACTACTTATTTCTATAGAGAAAGGATGCATGTTTATTTATATTGATGAAATAAAACAACCCATGCAACTGCATCTTGCTACCATGTCAGAGAATGGATTCAGTCTTGTCTCGCAATCTTGAATTAAGAGGATGAGGAATTGTGTACATGTAGCACTTGATGGAACCTATGTAGAGGGCTCTGTGGAATGAATGTGGCATGAATACCACATAGTGATGATAAAATATTCAAAATCAACTATGGCATAACAAAATGGGGTAATTCATGACCATAATGGATTGTTTTGTTCAGCCTGCATTCAACTGCATTGCGTGTTAAACAAGCTAAAATAGCTTCAGAATGTTTGACGTAAATGTCGGTCCCGGGGTACCTATACATCCTTCACGGAAATAAAGATATATCAAAAGATATTAAATGCTTTGTTTTCAAATCTTCAGAGTTGATAGATAATTGAATGATGTATCACTGGTAAGAAAATCGAAGGGATTGGTCTATAAAAAGCATCTGTGTAAAAAAGTGTCCATTACTTATTGATCACCCCTCGTATATATATGAATAAATAAATAAATAAATAAATAAAATGTACATGTGCAGGTATGCCAGTTAATCAGGAACTTGTAGTACATTCAGTATGATGTGATTACAGTATGTTAGCTTCAAGATGACATCATGTTATTTAAAGATTCTCGCAATCTTTATCCAATCAGCGTTTGCGAGTGTGTCAGCTAACGTATAAAAGGCGAATCCAACTCAAATCCATGCAGGGGTGTATGAGGTACTCGAATAGGAAAGAGCTCGTGAAATCTGAATTTATATGCACATGGTCAATGTTTACACATGTTTGGAGTTATTGAAGAAAATGTGATATGGGTGTGGTTCCGGATTTGAAGTCATTGCTGGAAAATATGATTTTAATACGTGAAATTATATCTATAAATACAGCACTAAATATAACAGTACACATGAAGTACATGTATGATTGTGTCCAGAAATGTTTGAAACCCTTACGGAAAATTCTGTCTGCATTTTGTCACCATTGCTCTTTCTTCCCGCATTCTAGTGCTGTTTGAATGAATATATTAATTAATGTATTTCTAACTAAAATATATCACATTTTTTATAAACCACAAACATTTAGATCATAAAAGATTATTCAATACTTGAGTGAGCACGATATGCAAGGGTTACTTGGGTTAGTTGACACAGTAAATGACCACTGATATTGTGTTAGTCCATGCACAGCGTATTCTGCTAATATACATTTGCTAACACCCCCACTTTCATAGTGAAGTGACTAATTGGTTTATGTTTACGTTTTAATGTGTTTTGGGTTCCTTGTTACAGCAAGGGGGGCCAGTAAAGTAGACTAACATGTTTGCATGGCAAATTTTGATCGAATATGTGAGACACTTTAAAGTGAATTTAGCTTCAGGCATTTTGTGTCTCAGTATTTATATGTATGGATGAATGGCAGTTTGTTTTCTGATATTTTACTGCAACAATATGGTCATGATTTGTATTTTGATTTGATATTCCCTGCTAAGGGCAGATCAGGGAATCAAACTGCACAGTATAGATCCAGCGTCTTGTGCATACCTTTTTATTCAAATTGTAATAATTATAATATGAAAATAAATAAAACATAACATTACTAAAAAAAATGTTTATTTAAAACCTGTCATTTATGAAAAGTTTGAGACAGGCTTTACAATGGTATGAAAAATTTAACATATAGAAAATGATGTCCTATCCATAAAGGAAATTGTATTCCACTGTATAATGGTAAATTGTAATTTATGACATAATTTAAAGGAAAAACTTACCTGAGTGAGTTTGTGGGGCAACGTTTTTAATGATTGCTAACTTTTTTTAAATTTGCATCTTATTTCTTAAGAGTTCCACCAACTATATTCACAATGTTTACACCATATACCTCAAAGAGTTTAGTTATGTCATAAAAATATTGAAAATGTTATAATGATTGATAAAGGACCATGCGCCATTTTTCTTTACAGAGGGTATATCATAATTCATACCTAAGGGTCTAGTCAGGCCAATTGTTAATGGTTTGGCTGTAACAACTTAATTAAGAAAACACCGATAGCATGGTTTTAAATCCGAGCATGTAATTTTTTAAATCAAGCTTGAATTTAATATTTCTGTGTACACGGTTTTTGTTTATATTTCCACCAATAAATTTCAAAAGAAATTCACAAATTCTTCGGGCGATCAATTCAGCATTTAACTCTATATTCGTCAATACTTTATTGATGTGGAGAACTGCGCATAAATTTTGCAATATCTATAAAATATTTTTGCCTTTGTTCAGTTGTATAATCCATTGAATATACATTAAACATCACTTTAATTGTTGCCACCAACAATGCAAACCTTTTAATGTGTATTCAATACCGAATTCAATATCTGCTTTTAAATAGATGTTTGTCTGAAAAGTATGATGCTTAAACTTTATTTGGAAGGACGTTAGGGATATATTGAAAAACAAATATCCTAGAACTTTTCCTAGAATCAAAATCAAATTCAATTATTCACTTTCCTGAAATATGTGCTGAGATGAAATATCACCAAGTGTGTCCTTGAAATTGTATATTTTCTTAAACAACATTGACAATTCCGCTTACATAAAGTGTTTTGAGATGAATTCGGATCATTACAATCATAAGAAACAACCTTTCTACTTGATATAAATGAAACAGAAATCACTCATAGTCATGCCGAATTTATAGTTCGGTAAAATGACGTAAAAATGTTGTGAGAAAAAACATGTGGTATTCGGTAACAAACAAGACACACAAGGAAAGATGCACCTCTGATCTTTTACAACGGCTGTTTATCTATTTACAATTGAATAACTATCATCTCATCAATGCTAACCTCTGTCTCAAACTTTGATGATTTGCAATGTACCACCTGATCCTAACAAATATATTCACATTTCATCGATATATAATATTTTATTCAGCAATCATATGGGGATACAAATATCTAAACAATTACTATTTATGTGTTTTTTAAGTTGAAAGGAAGAGTATTGTTGACTGTTTATCGGTTATCGGGTTCGGTTACATAAGAAGGTGTGGTAAGGGAAAGGCGTGTTTCCGTTTGCTATGGTCGACTGTGGTATTGTAATTAGAATCGAAAATGTAGTCGATTTCGTACAGTTCCATGTTATGCATTGGAAGTTCTATGTCGCATGTTCCTGGATTCCAAGTGGTTTGGAGTGTGTGCTGGTCTATGACGTTTGATACGACACGGAAAATCATGCAGATCCACATCGTCCTAAAAAAAAATAAGCAAGGAGGGGTCATACATTGTTTCTTTGTGTTTGAAATCATTTTCTATTTAATGACTCTGATAATATGTTTCCAATTTTTTTTTCTATAAGCATTGCTTTAACATTTTGGGGAAAATGTAAAAATTGGTTAGAACCTTTTCAAATTTGGTGTGGAAAAAGGTTTATCTATATTTGTGGTAAATTGTAGAAATGAATTAGCAACAAATTAGCTATACGGTTGGGTACCAGCCCTTTTGATTGTCCAATATATTTACAAAGAAACCTGTTCGGAATGCTCACCTTGTAGCCTATTGGTATCTTTTTATCTACTCTTTAAATGTACAAGTTTATAAAATGACTTAGATGCTTTTTATGAATCACGCTAAATGCTCACGGATACGTTTGATAGTTCTTAATGATTTTGAGAGCACTACCTTTTAAATGGGTTTTAATTAGCGTCCAGAAAAAGCGAATATCCATTTTGTAGGTAGAGTATAATATCCTAATTCCTTGTTAGTATCACCAATTTAGTTTCCATTCTCCACATGGCTAGGTGACACGAGCATGCAAGAAAATCATTTCAGTTTTTCTCTTGGGAGTTCTAAGTACCTACCTCTACCTGGTTGTAGATCGTATCATGCGCTTAAACAATTAATTCGGATTAAAATAAGCAGGTATACCATAGTATTATTCCTCAGACACCAATTTGTTTCAATCGAGATTTACATCGAAAAAACACATCTGAGATTCATTGCAATCTGGGCAAATCTGAACAAAGAGCTAACACGGCGAGTTAGTCATATTTTAGACTATTTCCTATATTTCCCACTCATCTCTCTCTCTCTCTGAGTAGTCGGTATTGTAACTCGACTCTGTATTCCAGTCATATCATTGATCCTAAAAGTAGATTCCGTATCCTGGTCATATGGATAGTCGGCCTTGTAACTAGATTCCGTATCTCTGTCATATGGATAGTCGGTGTTGTAACAGACTTGAACGTGTTCCAGTCATTTTGAATAACCGGTATTGTAACTAGGCTATTCCTTTTATCAGTCTTTCAACTAAGCTCCGTATCCTGGTCATATGGATACTCGGTCTTGGATAGTCGGTGTTGTAACTATAATCTGTATCCCTGTCATATGGATAGTCGGTCTTGTAACTAGACTCCGTATCCCTGTCATATGGATAGTCGGTATTGTAACTAGACCCCATATTCCAGTCGGTCTTGTATCTAGACTCTGTATCCATGTCGTCTGGATAGTCGATATTGTAACTAAAATTTGTATCCCCGTCATATGGATAGTCGGTCTTGTAACTAGATCTAGAATCTGTATCCCCGTCATATGGATAGTCGGTCTAGTAACTTTAATCTGTATCCCCGTCATATGGATGGTCGGCCTAGTAACTTTAATCTGTATCCCCGTCATATGGATGGTCGGCCTTGTAACTAGATCTAGAATCTGTATCCCTGTCATATGGATAGTCGGTCTCGTAACTAGACTCTGTATCCCTATAATATGGATAGTCGATCTTGTAACTAGACTCTGTATCCCTGTCATATGGATAGTCGGTCTTGTAAGTAGACCCCATATTCCAGTCGGTCTTGGATCTAGACTCCGTATCCCTGTCATCTGGATAGTCGGTCTTTGAACTTTAATCTGTATCCCCGTCATATGGATAGTCGGTCTTGTAACTAGAATCCGTATCCCTGTCATATGGGTTGTCGGTCTTCCGATAGTTGGCCTTGTGACGAGATAAAATGAATAGAGAATTTTAGATTTGAACAAATATTTTTAAAGATACCAATGTGTTCTTTACACTCCTAATGTTATTTTCTTAAAACAGGATTGAGCTATCATATCCATTATCAGTGAAGATTTAAGGTATATTCGTCCTGTCTACTTGATTACAGTTTATTGTATTTTCCAAATATTCTATACAAATTCTATACTATTCTTACAAATTAAAGGTTAATAATGATCGTAAAATAATTCATAAAACTTTATACAGAAATGGGATTATGAATTATCAATTAAGTTTTAGCATTTTAGCACCAAATGATCCATGAAATTACTACATCCGTAAAATCATGATTACTTATGCTGTCAAATGCACGATGCCGAGAGAGGAAAAATGCGTCCCTAGCCTATGATTTTCTTAAATTACCATGAATAAAAGATAACGTATGAGGTGTTAATCAAAGTACAAAGTGGCAAACTAGGCTAGGTATTAATTAGGAAACTAATCTCTCTGTTAACACATGCAATATGGCAATAACAAACTGTTTTCATACTGCAATATTCATACATTGAAATAATGACTGCCAATATATTTTTAAACATCAATTTTTAAATTTTGTAAAAATTCATATTGTTCTTCAAATGCAATCCTCCATTCATTTTAGGAGTGCAACACCTTCTTAGATCTGCAAACTATATATTTTTGGAATTCTGTCAATAAAAAAATTGCGCAAAAAAGGTTATGAGAAAACACAATAAAATTTCTGTTAGACTTTGCATGAATGATTCATTTACAAAGTCTGTATGTTTGAAACCCTAAAAAGGTAACTTGATGTTAGCCAGTAATCACAGGTCTTAAATTACCAATACTACTTCTATTTTGGATGCTAAATATTAATCTACATGTTTTGTTTTCTTGGTTAATATTGCTTATAGATATTTTGGAATATCTTGATTTTACATATACTTGTAATCTTTCTGTATATAACATTACCGCGTATGCTATGCGAACAGCCAATTGGAATCTGCAAGCAACAAGCGTTCACCCGCGGGCGATGATATTGGATTGTCCGACAGACACCGGGTGACGTATCAGAGTCGGCAAACGCTCGCATGGTGATCTATTTTACCTGCGATGAAAGAAGCACGCGTTTCGGTAATGATCTCACACAGAGTATACCGCAAATAAGACACACAGTATCATATATATGAAAGTGTCACACAAGGAGAAAAATCATCGGAACGAAACTTTTTATATCGGAGCCGTGAGAAGGATATGACATAAGGTAATTTATTTTCATAATCGAGTACTAGTTTCGAATAATGTATTGCTGACAATCATGTTATATTCTCTAAAAGGTTATGTTATAAATATTTAGATATTTAATTTGAACACATCCAGTACTATGAACAAATAATCCATGTGTATTGTTGAAAATGATATGATTAACTATTGTACTATTGTAAATATGGCGTGCGTAGCTTGGTGTGTGCTGATTAACAATATATATATTTACTTCAAATTCTGCAACATGTAAATAATAAATATGAAAATAAATACGTTATGTTAATTATAAATTGTTCTTTTGAAAATGAAAATAAATATTTCCAACACCAAACAATAACAGACCAATTTATACAGCCAAGTTCAAAATTGATTTTATCTTTTTTTAAATATTGCATATTTACAGGTAATATTATCGCACTAAAGATAATTCAATAATGAATAAACAAAATGATAAATTGATTCATTAATAAATTCAATAAAAAACACCAAACTGTGCAAAATAATTAGGGCCCCGTGCCGGACTATACACAGGCTGCTATAAACTCCACAAAAATGATTTATGAAAGTAAATGAATGTTGCTAAATGGTGGTAAAATGATACATCTCATTTCTTATATATACATGCCAAACAATTACGTAACACTCGATCTGAATTCCATCCTCGCGGTTTTAATTTAATAATCTGAATAGAAGACAATGTATGGATTAAAAACTCTGAAATTAAAAAACAGTCTATTAAATCCAAATTGTATCTGGTTTGACAATTTGTGGGTGCAATCTCAAAATCATTAAAAAACTAATTGTATTTCTCTTCTAAATTCTAACTAGTGAATAGAATTTATTAAAAAACAAAATCATCAAACTTTTTCACTGCTGCTCCCCCACCCCAAATTAGTATTACGGGAATTTTTGTTTTGTTTTTGTACCCTTTAGTTACTTAATATATATAGATAATAAGTTACATTTCTTCTGTTTGATGGCATATCTGAATTCTGGGTATAATTTATTATCAAAACAACTTTGATTTGCGCAGTTATACCTTACTTCGATCTTGTCTTAAAGTTTTTCAAGTTCTATGAAAAAGGTCGAGCTAAATCCCCACTTACAAAATGTTGAAAAACCTTTAAACGTTCATTTACTCTTATAAGGATCACAATTTTAATGTTACATCACAATCCACATGTCAATAAGCTCATATGGTTACATTCTAATTGTTCTTTAAATTGAAATTAAAGTACTTGTTAGTCCAAGAAATTAAGTAACTCTTGTAAAGTTGTTCCATGCATTCTGGCCCTACCAACACACATGTTGCCATCTATTTTGCTATTTATATAGAAAATGGTCAATTGGGGATTGCCATATCATGTAAGCGTGGTCGACCAATTATAGAATTAAAAACAAGACAATTAGATAATATAAATTAATTGCCTTTGTTTAAATGAAAAAAAATCGATAATGTTTCATTTGAAAAAGAAACAAAACAACTAGCATGTTGGAATATTTTCCTATTCACTCCCAAATTAGAGCTCGACCTCGTGTACACTGTTCCGGGCTTTGTTTGTTTTCTATATCACTACAAATAAAATGAAACCCCCTGTTGAGCTACTTGAGACATGATTTCGGGTAATTGCTTTGCATTACTGAATAATTAATTAATAAAAATCTAATAGCGGTGACTTTTGATGAACGGAGTCATCGGTTGGATTAAAACATTTGTGTAATTTCTACTGTAAACAATATTGATAATATAAAAATGTTATGCTCTTAATAAATTATTCAAAACTTAATATTTTGGGACCTTTGATGTAAAGATACTTAATGTTCATCATTTGTTTTGAATTGAATACGACGGGAATATATACACACTACCCTACCTCGATCGCGCATGCGCGAATCTTTTGGCTTTCAAACATGTCGCTTTTGAGTATATCGACTGCTTAGTCAAAAGGTTAATACGTTTGGTGCTCGGAGTGAGTCAATATTGCTATTCGCTACACTTCAGTGGTGCAATAGTGAAGTCCATGTTCCAAGTTATATGATAGTTGAAGAAATAATGTAAATAATATCGTTTTAAATTTTAAAATATTTGATACGTCATAGTACACGGTACACAGCTGCAAAAGTTGATCAATACAGGGTACAAGGAATGTAAATTGTTCAATAGTACAGGGAGCGAGAAAGTAAGCTGATTATACAGACATACTATGTCCCGACCTCATGTACATTTACGTTGCAAACAGTGAAAGTAATGCTAAAAAGGCCGCCCGTTGATGCTTTGAGGTGTCATCAATTGTTATTTAATCCAAATAAAGTAAACATTATTTTGTAGATTTAGACACGGGCTTTCAAGTCGTATGCATTTTAGTCATTAAATTAACAAGAACGCTAGATTATACGTGTCAGTGGCGTAGCGTCGTTTACGCAAAGTACGCAAATGCGTCCACTGGAACAATCCAATTTTTATCTGAATATTTGGAAATTCTAAATTTCTCAAGTCTTAATAAGCAAAGCCATTGTTCAACCTTATCATTTCGTATCTTTGAACAGGGTTCAACCATAGAAATTAGGTGTTTATTTTAGTCCCGACATGTCATTAATGATTCTTTCAAATTATACTCTCATAATTTCGTGAATACTCTTATGTAATCCATATGACCTCCCCGTAAATGGCTGCTCATGTGCCGAATCCAGCTCCAGTTTAATGATTAGGGATAGTTAATCAATTACGCTAATATCTATATACTATAATAATATTCAAGCAAGATTTGGCTGTACCTTTCATCCATAAATCTTATCGGAAGACATTGAATAAGAGTAATCAACAGTGCTGTCTGCTGCAGACATCTTTTTGTTCAGTGTAAATTTTTCAGGTAAGATTTTTACAACGATAATAGATTTTTTAAATTTCTCCATTCATTCTTAACGATACATTTAATATTTTTGCTTGAATTTCTACAAATTTCAAGTGGAAATGAATGCGTATCGGGTAAACCCCCCCATCCCAATTTTGGAATTTTGCGTCCCCTAGTAAAATTGCCACGCTACGCCACTGCGTGTTACTAGGGTATCAAATTGAAATAAAATAACGAAATTAAATATCAACACGTTAATGATAAATGACTATCCGCTATCAGTATTAATGACTATTTGCTACTCAGAATAATCAAAATTGCCTGAACTACATATGAAGAATCTTTCTATAGAACCCCTGAATGGTCTAATTCACTACCGTCCTAAAAACCCGACCATTCAAAATGTTTTGTTCAAATTCACAAAAATACAGTTGACTAACATACTAGAAAACGTATCCACCTATAACACGATGACACGCAGTTTAAATAACAGTTAACTGGGTTTTTTGTTACATATCAATGTAACAATTTCGAAGGGAAACTTACATGCTCCCTGTACGTTGATAGATTTACTGAAATGTATCGTGTATTGCATTTGGTTTTGCTTCACTGCGCCCACTATTATCTATCTTTGCCTATAGTGTTTTTTTGCCAACAATATTCTACACACTCCTTGATGAATCAATTCTATGTCTGGTAGAACACTAGAAATAAATGTAAAATGTATTTTACGTTCAGAAATATGGAATTAAACCCACGTCCTCCATTTGCAACTAAGCTGTACCCTGTTTCCCTTTTAAACGTGGTCACGTGGTAGGGTAGTGTGATATATAACTAACGGTATAACTCAATGGCTTTTACCAAAACAAGGTAAAACATCAGCGTATAATAGAGTTATTACAATTGACAGAGAGTGACAGATAGCGATGAGATCGGGGAATGGGGCATGAAGGAGAGAGTGAAAGGGAGAGAGAGGGTGGAAGAAAAAGGGGATGCCTGGGGGATTTAGAGACTAGGGAGGAAAAGAAAGGAAGAGAATTAGAGTTGAGGGATTTAAAATCAAATTCAAAAATAACAAAAAATGCATATCAATAATTAATTTAGAATAACAGGAGATAATCTCAAATGTACAAGTATACGTAGACCTGAACAAAATATCAAATGTATCTTGTGTCCTTCGTATATCATTCAATCTATGCTACTTCAGAATACGAAATGGAATATATTTAAATTAATCAGAAAAATTAAACATATCCTTTTCCAAATTCCTACTTGGAGTTGGTAGAAAGGCCACTAATATGGCTGTTTATGGGGAACTTGGAAGATATCCACTATTTATAGGTATATTTGGCCAAATTCTCAACTTTTTACATCACATTAAAGATACAAAAAATGTTCTAATCAAGGCAGCTTTTGACTGCTCCAAAGAACTACAAGAAAACTCATGGGTTTCAAACGTAAACAAAATAATTTGCTCTATTAATGAAAATTGCTCTGAATCTGTGGATTCTACAATTGATACCTTAAGATGTACATCATTACTTAAACTAAAATTTGACAGGTACTGGAAGAATAAATTAAACACTGACATTAGGAAAAATGATAACGGCAATAAACTACGAACCTACAGAACCCTCAAGAAAGATTTTAAATATGAACATTATTTAAATATAATCGACAGACTTGATATGCGAAGAAACTTTACACGTTTGAGAATAAGTGCTCACAACCTCCAAATTGAGCAAGGGAGATATACAAAACCAAAGAAAACCCCAATTGAAGAAAGACTGTGTGTCTATTGCAATATTATTGATGATGAAGAACATTTTATGATGAAGTGTAAAAAATATCAAAATGAAAGATTATTACTTCAAACTGAATTGTCTGATACGGCAAAAGCACAAACTAATCAATTTATATACCTCTTAACTTGTATAAATCAAGATTGCATCAAGGTTGCAAAATATATTAGTGATGCCTTCCGAATTTTAGAAAGCAATACTTAATTTAGAAAGGCTAATTCCTGCTGCGCAAAAAAGCATTTTGTAGTAATACATATTTTACATTTTACAGTATTAAGCATATATTATATGTAGTATATAGTAGTCTAGTGTTAAATCATATATATTCTTTTTGTGTACTGCACTTTCTTGTACCTGACCCTCAGGGGTGTGAATGTACTCAATAAATATTCTATTCTATAAAAATATGACATTTAATTGTTCAGAACGACGTTATAACTTCCATTATCATTCGTCAATCCAACCAATTGTATATAAATGATTTAAACTTTATTTTTATTTTTCAAAAGGTCGGCACGTTCAATGCGCCCTTGGAATACATCTGTACAAGCAACTTATAATGAGCTAACAATGAGGGTATACTCCCTTAGACGAGTTTTTCGCGACTGGTGGGTAATTGTTTGTGCCACAAAAGCAACAAGAACCAGCGAAATGAGCAATATGGACAACCCACCGGGCTCGTATTAAACAAATATCGCTTTCATTTTGATTCATTCACAAAAGAATAATTATCGCAATTATATAGAGTATACATTCGACAAAGAAATGACATTCCGACTCATCAAACTCAGGTCCATTGTACAAGCTTAAAACCCCATTAAGATTTGCTATACGGGACCGTACATGTACGTCGACTCTGAAATCGGCAAATTCCTACGGCAACCGTAGAAGATCTCTCCAGCTTTTAAAGGCCGTAGAGTCGCCATAGAAATAACGACTTGGAGTTAAAACTTTAATTTCTACGGTTACTGTAGAAGTAACAAGCCAAAACGAAATGTTCCACGATGGACCACGTATATAAGGGACCCCCTGCGACAGGCTTGCATCTGCCTTGGTACTTAGAAAAACTACGCCTGTCGTAGGGACGCCCTACGGTGACCGTGCGTAGTCATTTCAAAGGTTATATCATGGCAACCGTAGTTTTTCTGTATCTAAAAGATATAATTACGCCGTACGGCTACCGTAGCAAATGTGACTGTTAAAGTGTCCGACCGTAGAATTTCCACGACTACCTTAGAATTACTCTTGGCCGTACAAATAATAGACCGCATGGTCACCGTAGCAAATGTAACTGAGGTTTTAATATAATGTTGAAATCTGCCGGGAACAACTTCATCTAAATTAGGATATTACAGGGTGTCCCAGAACTCATGAGAATTTTTTGAGGGCGATATAAGACATGGGTGATTTTTCCTCAAATTTGGTATACTTATTTAACACACTTTAGGGAATGACTGACATGGATTTCAGGCACTTATCTTTTATATTTCCGAATTTATTGACATTTGAATTCTACATCGCCACAAACCCCGGAGTTATCGGGAAAATTACAGATTATGTCACATTTTATCAATTTTATACATATTCTCAACTATAAAACCAATGTTTTTGTATAAGCTTAGTTCAGCATTTTTCTCATATTGATGATGCACTTTGATAAAACGATATATAAACTTTGATAGAGACCCAATACATCAACAGATTATACATTTGGTTTGCTGAAAGATCACAATGATATGTTCCTGAGGGATTGAAAGAAATGTCTCCATTTGCTAGCCAATATGATCTTGCATATTGACAATGCACCAGTGAATAAGTCACTACTATGCATGTCAGTAGTACATCCAATTTACTTTCTATTGAGACTTTACAGTATATAGTAGCTCCATATACTTGCCAGATTTTGCTCTACTAGACTTTTGATTTCTTTTGGGACCTTAAACAAAGATTACTGAGCCATGTCACTGAAACGGAGGAAGAATTGAGTCATGTTGTTTCAGAGGATCCTACAGAAATGCCTATTGGACGATTTGGGAATGTGTATAAAGAGTAGCTAAAAATACGACATCAACTGTAGATAATATGCTATAATAACTCTGTAGAGATACGTTAGCTGAATGTGTATGATCCTATTAACTAATGTACTGAAACGCTGAAATAATTCAATGGAAACAATGCTATTAGAGTAGAGAAGTTGTGTAAATATTATCAAAATGTGACGTAAATTGATGTATTTCTCTGACTACTCCAGGGTTTGTGGCGAAGTAGAATTCAAATGACAATAAATTCGGAAATATGAAAGATATGTGCCTGAAATTCATGTCAGTTATTCCTCAATGTTTGTTTATTAAGTGCACTTAATTTGAAGGAAAATCATTCATGCCTTATATCTCCCTCAAAAAATTCTCATGAGTTCTGGGACACCCTGTAGCCTGGAAAAAATATCAACCAAAAAAGCAAAGGAATAAATTCGAAAATCTTCGAACGGTTAAAGACGATTAAAGGCATATGAACTATTACTTTTTCCGGATCGCACGTATCGTGTTAACTAAACATATCTAGCCACTTGGGAATGGGTAACCGCATGTTAAAAGGTATCATCTCTAAAAGGGCTATAAGTCTTTGTCTCTGGTCTTTTAATCACAGATGATTGATTAGAACAACGCGAGTTTAAAAGCCCCTTCAACTTTGAAGTCCACGTAATTCGCAGAGTAAGCGGCTAAAATACTGATGTTTTACTAAGTACATGGATTCCCATTTTGCATGATCCAAAGCGTATTGAAGTGAGGTTAGAATAATTAGTGACTACAATAGTTAGCCATTTCATCTCCCTTCCTCTGATCAGTTTATGAGATACGCTATGATTGTTCATTTGCAGTATTTATGGAGTATTATCACGTTTTTCTCGTTTGAGCAAAAAGTAAAAACCTGTGGCTTATAGTATAGTAGATTATTCCGCAGCGCTGATCAAATTCCCTATGTAAGAGAAATTCCATTGATCTCACAATCAGGATTCATTTTCATCATTAAATTGTCATTTAATCATCGATGCATGTGTTTTGCTCTTATTTGAAGTTGTTAATTAATTACAGTGTACCTATGTTCAATTGGTCTGTAATTGCTGTTGGTTTCCTGAAATTGAAATTAAAAGTGTGATGAAGCTATATAACTGTCTCAGAAGACATTTTCAATTTCATGTTGTTCACCGTGATCCTATGGGAATTATCTATTTATGCGATGATGATAGCCATGTTTAAAACAGTCGAACGTCAAGTTAATATGAATATAATAAACACTACCTTTTGTAAAATAACAAGCCTTCCTTTGTCCATTTCAGTTTCATATTGACAACACCGTTGCATAGAGCATAAAAGGAGGGGAAAAGAACGAACGTAGGGCTGGTTGACTACAAGTAACGGTAATACTGAACACCGAACATAACATCCAAACATAATAAGCGATGATAACTGAACATAATTTTAAAAACAGAATGGATCCGTGTCGAATATCTGCTCCTGCGGACAATGTTAAAACCACGAATTATGCCATAGATCAACGGCTTGAGGTAATCCATTCTAAGCATATGTCGAATGTTGGTCGCACGTGTATGGATACGGAAAAGGATAAACAATATCCCCTACGTGTAGGAGTCATATCCGACAATACTCAGCAAACAGACTTCACGAATACGGATGATATCCCCGTAACCCAAACTAGGGAAAATGGAATATTAACTGAACACTCGGAAAAGACTATGAGTAAATGTAAGTATTTTCACAGCACTACCAACTATCTAGTCAAAGAAAAACAGGTTCATATGAACGTTGAAGAAACGCGCACCACAAGCGTAACTTCTAGAGCGTCAACTTTATCTTCGTATCTATCCTCAATATCAACATCGGAATCAGGGTCATGCTGCGTCTCAAGCTTAGTTAGCTCCGACGTTTACCTGCCATCGGAAAGTGATATTCTGTTCCAACTTCTCCCGACAGCTCCACCAAACTCAGATATTGAATCGGATTTTTTCTCGGACGAGGAAGCCGATCTTTCGAGCCACGTTATGAACATTACGTGTGATGCTCAATTTGGCACACTGGAAGCAACAAGTGCGTGCGTCTACAATTACTCAGATGACGCGGTGCTGTTATCTGTTGACAGGCATGACGCGTTTGAATTTAGAGACTTAAAAAGATGGTTAACCGAAGATGTAGTTCAATACTCAAGTTCCATGAAATCAAATAAATTTAAATCGATGCCGGACATCAGTGATTCACATGGAAATATAAAGCAACGTTCGATTTCATCTTCAGATCTGAGATGTACGGCATTCGAGGACGATTTCAAAGATCAACCAAGTAGGACTGTCTTAGGGTTAAATCTAAAACACTACCACAACGAAATGGACTTTAGTTCATTATCAGAATTAGAAGCCAGCCACAAGTCAGTGTCTATGTGCAGTTTGGATTCAACTGAGGCCAACTGCAGCCTATGTTGTTGTTGTTGTCGATATTGCTGCAGTCCACCGTGTTGTGAATAATGAGTCCCAACGCCGAATCATGCTCCCAAACTACAACTAACATGAAGTTTATTTAATGCCATTTTCTCGTATTTATTCTTGTTTATTTATTATCGTATTATTTTGATTATATCATTATATTATTATATCATATATATTTTCTCTCCATATTTGGAGGTTTTATTTTAATTTAAGAATGTGATTGACAATTTAGATTTCTTTGAACCTACCTAAAATAAAATACATTTCAAACTGAAAAGTTGTGTTGTATATCTTTGATAGAATTGTTATTAAATTTGCGCGGTGCAGATAAACAGAGACTGTTTCATCATATCAAATCACCTCACTTGTATTGTATGTTACCTAGGTTACACTCAAGTTTCATCAAATTGGCGTTAATTGTAATTCATGTTACCAAAATTGATTTAAAAACTGACATGACGTTCATGTTTCCATTCCTCTGCTGTTAACAATTTTTCTAGGCTGTATACGCGATGGATGTTTTTTTATTAAGCTGGCGGGCAAATTGCTGGGAATCAAATGACGTAATTTGAATCAAGTGTAGTTCATTCATCATTTTTATGTTTGTTACTTCATACTGAATAATAATCCGTATCAGTCTGAGATATGATGATGAAAACGGAAAAAGTAGAGTTAGAAACTGTTGTCTTGTTTTCGCACCATTCCCTTGCCCCATATTCAGGGTTCACATGTTGAAATCATCACATACAGTCCATTGCCAAAAAGGCAACATAAGCCTCTGTCACATCTGTTGTACGGCGGGCATACGGCGGCCGTAGCTTCACAAAATCGATATAGAAAATCGATATCGTAATGCTTATCCCTATATTTTATGCTGCATATTTCTCTCGATTTTGGGAACCTATAAAATGTGATCGAGGCATTATTATTCCAAGTTTCATGTCACTAGCAGTTATAGGCAGCTGAGTTAAGCCATATTCTGATCATTATTATTAAACAATCATAAGGTAGTAGAGGTTATACATATATACCACGATGTATTGACCCCAATAGCAGTGGTTTTACATTCTTGAATCTAGATCGGGAGTTACCCTTTTTACTAGTTCACCTAAATACTAGGGTCAGGCAATCAGAAATATCTGAAGTTATAATCGATGATCCTAACACGTCCGAAAATAAAATGATATTTCGGACGCTCGTCTATTTTATCAGGTTTAGCACTATTTTTTCATATTCTCGACATTTTCAGAAGACTATATCTATCATCAGAATTCATCTTCCGTTCAACTGTTGCTATTGGAATAAAAATCTCTGTATTCTCTGTATCGCGTAGAACAATTGAAGTGGTATTGTATCGCACTATCTATCCTTTCAAAGCGTCTCGTGTTCTAACTTGGTAAATGAAAATTCGATCCACCAGTTTCTAACAATGCAAAAAATAAATGAACATGTCATTTTTTAATAAACATCTTAATATTGTGCTTTTGTCACGATGAGACTGTTAATTTTAGTTAATTAAAAACTTGCCTTTCGCAGGGGTGTAATATTTTAACGAGTTATCCATATCAACAATTAGGGCACTCCGCGTCTGTCATATAATCTCATACGTCTTGTCGGAGAACTTCGTGCGGAGAGAACAACCGTCAGTGGTTTAATATTTTATGGGGGCCTATGGTGAGAAGTCAGGAGAAGGTCAGGGGGTTGGGGTACTGGGTTACCAAAGGAAAGCTTACGTGACACTACTGGATTTCTTCATTTTGCTTATGCACGAAGTCTTAGAGAAGTCGTAGTGACTTGGATAAACTTAGATGAATTCATACTTCCGTATATTCCAAAATGCAGGACGGTTCCTTACTTTTTGAATATTGTATGTCTTTAGCAAACAAAAAAGAAATAACAAGAACGTTTATTCATTTTAATATTACGTAAAAGAGTGTAATATTACATAAACAATGGACAAGTATCACAATCACCATAAAATATATAAGTATTAGGAAATCGGAATTAATTACTTGTTGTTTTTGTTTCATATTATGTTAACCTATTTTGTTCAAATATTACATTGTATGCTTAACAAAGTAATGAATTTTAAAGTGAAATATTGTTTTTTCCCATCATGAGAAATCATGGCCTTCTATTAGCTTCAAACTAGTACTGGTTGAAGACAGAAAAATGTGATGATTATCAGAATGTTTTTTGCCGTGTACGCTGATATACCCGAACTAAATAACACCCCAGTCACATTTCCCACGGCCTCCGTGAGGTCTATCATTTCTGCGGCCAGTAGCTTTTCTGCGCTCTCATACTTTTGCAGTCACATTTCCCACGACAGCCGCACGGTGATTTTTTAATTTCTGTTGATAAATAATACCTTTTTCATTTTATTTACATCAGGACAATTTTTAAATGTTATTCATAGTGCTAGGATGTAATATCAAATGAAAAATGATCGTGAAACATTGACAAATAATGATTCAATCTTGTTGAGCCAGTTGATTTCTACGGGGACCTCAGAAATGAACAAATATTATAACTCCGAGTTATAATTTCTACGGCGACCCTGCGGCCTGTAAAAAACTGGATACGCCGTACGGAGGCCGCAAGGCGAGCGTAGTTTTCCTACGCTCGCCGCAGAAATACACTGATTTAATTGATCCCGGTCGACGTACGGCCGCCGTACGACAAATAATGTGACTGGGGTGTAAACGACTCTCAGCTGGTTAGGTTGCAATGCTGTTTAAATTGATTTAACTTAAACTCCGTAATTACTTTGACATCGCCCACAACTGACTTTCATCAAATGAGATTGATATTTTAATCGTATCGTTCTGTGTCCTACAAGGGCGTTGGAAATCTTGAAATATTTCGCTCTTGAATTTGTTATTTTACTACATTTTCCTGGATTGCGAAGGACATCCCCATCGTGAGAGAATATGAATCTATTTCTGATGGGCTTTAGGTGTCATACAATGTCAGTCTTTAGGTGCCATACAATGTCAATCTTTAGGTGTCATACAATGTCAATCTTTAGATGTCATACAATGTCAATCTTTAGGTCTCATACAATGTCAATCTTTAGATGTCATACAATGTCAATCTTTAGATGTCATATACAATGTCAATCTTTAGGCGTCATACATGGTCAATCTTTAGATGTCATACAATGTCAATCTTTAGGTGTCATATATAATGTCAATCTTTAGGCGTTATACAATGTCAATCTTTAGATGTCATACAATGTCAATCTTTAGATGTAATATACAATGTCAATCTTTAGGCGTCATGCAATGTCAATCTTTAGGTGTCATATTATGTCAGTCTTTGAGTGCAATACAAAGTCAGGCATCTACAGCAGGATCCTTTTAATTGTGGAAATCAAACCCCACACATAGATCAAGTTGATTCTCTCTCGTGCCTTTTAATAAAGAAAATCTTTATGGAAATTCATTAAAATGCCATACAATCAGGTGCATGGTAAATCCATGGATTCAATATCCTATGATAAATGACGAAGATGACAATAAACTAGCGACAATTATAGTGCATGTTTTAACGAGGAGTGGTAAACCTTGTATTTATAACGATTGACGATGATTGATTGTCCCTTTATTGAAACGGAAACGTATATTCCTCGCAAAGAGGTCTAATTGTTTTTTTCACTTGATGACACAACTGTGACAGTGTATGCATTGGCTGGCCATAAGGAGAGGGGAAGGACATGTGACGGTAAAACTTCCCAGTAAGTTGAACATGTTTTAAGGAATCATGTGATCGGCGAAAGGAAGCGGAGAATGGCAAACATCCAAAAGTATAATTTTCATCATATTATTTACTTTTTCCTAAAAAGCACACTCCCTCCAAGGTTTTGGCAACCCTGAACCCGCCCTCTTTTTGGATGCGTGTTAAATGCGGTTTATGTTTGTTTTATTTTTGTATCTGCATAACATGTACAGGGTGGTCATATAAATGGAAACCATGTCTTTTCCCCACATCTTTGTCATTTAAAAAATGACTCCCTGATATTATACACATTTGTAAATCATTAAATTTCCTACCACCCTACAATATTTAATGACCGTGACTGGACTTATAGTCACAAATTTACAGCACTTTGAACAACATACCTTGGGTTTGGCTATCATTGCGCTTTAGGCAAACCTGCACAGTTGTCAATGACCAAAATGCATCTTTTAGCAGGTATGGCCTGAATGATACAAATGATCTCACTTTTGAGGTCTGCAATAACCCAAATGCGAGTAGAAATAATCTTGATTTATGTCATTAAAAATTCAAAATTCAGTCAAAGTAATATCATATTTGAAATCTACATGTAATATAAAATTACATCTAGAAATGTGGTTTTAAAAAGTGTTTATCAACTTTGAAAAATTAATTTCTTTGAAAATGTGACTTTTAGCTCGGGGAGATTCCCCATAGATCCCATGCTATAAAATCACAAAAAAATGAAATATCTTTTCTTTTAGTAGACAGATAATATTTTGCTTTACTGGACATATTTTCATTAGTATAAGAATCAGACACATAAGGGTTACATGAAAATTGAGCTACTTAAATTGATAATATATTATTCAAGTTTAAGGGAACTTTCTTATATACCTGCCATGTTAATTGACCCGAATCAGTCACCTGGTGGTGAAACTGGTAACTACCCACTCCCATTTGGGTAATTGTCCTGAGGTCATTCTTATACACTCTATATCTGCCATATCCCCATAGGTAGGGACATTTTGGACGACATGTGCAGGTTTCCCGACAGCTCAATTTGTGGCCTCCGAGAATGTACTTTAAAGTGCTGTAACACTGTGACTATCAATCTGATGGCCATGAAATAATAACTGTGTAAGGTTTCTAGTTTTTTGAGCACCCTGTATTAACATGCAAAATGTCACTAACTGCTATTTCACGGGTTGTATCCAAAGCCCCGTTATAATTGAGAGATCGCGAGCAAGTTCCCGCTGAAATCACGAGCAAAGTCCTTTTTATTTAATTCATCTGGAAATATGGACCAAAAAGGTAAGAATACGCATTACTGTTCTTTGATACTTTAGGTATACTTTCAGAACAGGTATATCTTCACAAACAATG